CAGACGAATCAGGGCTTTTTTGGCGTGTGATGCCTAACAAAACTTTCGTTTTTTGTAACGAAAAATCAGTACCTGGACGAAAAGTAAGTGAAGAGCGTGTAACCATACTACCATGTGCTAACGATGCGGGCATACACGCGCTAAAGATGATGGTAATTGGGAAATCTAATAAACCACGGGCATTCAAAAACATTGATTTACTTGTACACTATTACGGACAAAAAAGTGCACGGATGACAAAAGACCTTTTCAAAACGTGGTTTGATGAATGCTTCGTACCTGAAGTTAGAAAATGAATAATTTTCCTCAAAAATCGTTGTTGCTTCTTGATAACGCTCCCGGTCATCCGATTGAAAAAGAACTAACAACTGAGGATAAATGCATCACTGCGATGTTTCTTCCGCCAAATTGCACTGCACTGATTCAACCAATGGACTAGAATATCATTCAGTTTGTCAAGCAAGACTATAAGAAAAACCTACTTCTGAGAGCCGTATCAAAAGACCAACCAATAGAAAAATCTTTAAAGGAATCTATCTATAGAATAGACATAATTATCATTCGAAAACAATCAATGTCAAACTCGCCAAGGTTTATTAATAAAGGATGTTAAGAGACGTATCTTTAAAATAAATTGATGCAGACAACTTTTATAATAGATTATATAGGGTGTCCCTGAAGTTGGCGTTAAGCCGGAAACGGCCAAGTCATAAAAGTTATTAGAAAAATTTAAATAAAGAATAGAAATTTGTAGTAATGGGAACTAAAAGGTCATTACAAAACAGCGTGTAGATTTTTCCGATTTTTTTTTTGAAGCCTATTATTTGAAAAGTACATTACTTAAATTTATTCTAGGACACACTGAATACAAAAAATTTTCATGCTTTTTAGCATCATTCATATATTTGAAAATTAATGATGTCAAGCTGTCATAAGTAACTATTGCACCACAAAATACAACTTTTGTGATAGATTATAATTATATAAGACCGAATAGTGACAAGCAATCAATTAAATTGGAACTACTCAACATCGATATTTCTAGCTTTTTCGTAAGATTGCAAGCATAATATTTTGTACCATTAGACTGATTACAAAGTATAGGTATAAAAATAGGTAGTTAGTTATTTTTGGTACTTTTTTAAATAGAACTCTAGTTTTTCTCATATGTTAATAAAGCTCTTGTTAGACAGGAAGTTTAAGCATGCTATTTCATAGTTCAGCAATCCTTAAACTTGAGTATACGAGCCCCTTTGTTAGACTTATCGCGGTATAGTCTCAGAAATATTGTTAGAAGATATAAAGTAACTGGTTCAGTTAATATTAAGCCACGATATGTGAAAAAAAGTAATATCACAATTGCCGACCGAAGAGCATTAAGAAGAATAATCGTGAAAAACAGGCGTGCCAATTATTTACAATTAAGTGCTCTGTGGAGTGACGTTGTTGGAAGGAGAATTTCGAGGTCCACAACTCATAGAGAGGCCCACAAACTGGGATTTAGCACTTGCAAGGTAAGTTTTCTTATAAAAAAAGTGAAGTAAAAACCCTAAAGTTGCACAACTTGTTTATAGGCCAAAGAAAAGCCACTATTAACTCCACTGCAAAAGAAAAATCGGCTTAGATGGGCTAAAGAACATAGACAATGGACACCTCAACAATGGTGTGCAATACAATGGAGTGATGAGGCCCGATTCGAAGTTTATGTTGGTGACAGTCGCAGTAGAGTTAGTCGCAAAAAAAATGAAGCATTCCGTGTTGACTGTCTGAAGAGAAAAGTGAAATTTCCAGCATCCATTATGGTCTGGGACAGTATGTCATCAAAAGGTGTAGGAAAACTTCATTTTATTGATGGAAATGTGGATACATACAAATATTTGGTAATTTTAGAAGAATCGCTTTTACCAGTGATGGAAGAATGTTTGACATCCGGCCAAGATTTTGTGTTTCAGGAAGATGATGCAGCGTGCCATACCTCAAAAAAGGCTATAAAATGGATGGAAGAAAATAATGTACCACTTTTGAGATGGGTTTCTAGCAGTCCAGATCTGTCACCTATTGAAACTTTGTGGTACGAGATGAAAAAGGTTCTACGACAACATCCTGCTCGTACAATCACTGAACTGAGATAAAAGCTTCAAGAAATATGGGATTGTTTTACACAAAATTTTTGCCAAAACTTGGTTAACACTATGCCCCAAAGAATTGTTGCTTTGTTAACTTCGCGCATTTATTCGCACATTGTTTATTTGTTCAGATGTTCTATGAGTTATAGGTCTAAGTGTTTCAAATATGTATTTTTTACGACTAGAGTGTATCTAAAATGTTTTTGAGAAATTAAATTGTTTTAGAAGTAAATAGTTTCGTCATGTTTAGTTTATAAAGGCATATTTTGGTACAAATCTTGAGTTGGGCCAACTGAAGTGGGAAGGGGTACGACACACAAAAATGGTATTAAACATCAGTATTGAATGGTTCAATTTCAACAAATAAAAGAATAACATCTGTTTCAAATGAATGTATCAAGTTTTCACAAATACTGCTTGACAAGAGCATTTTAACATCAAATAAAGAACTATATTAAGTTACTAGCACCAGTTTTTTTTCACCATTGAGAAAAAATACTCTGCCAGTTATTTTGTTGTACATATAGTATGCACTAGAAAAATTGCTCTAATATAACAAATTCCCTGAAGTCTGATCACTACAGGCATCACAAGTTTGATAGTAACTTCAATGTCATAAAAATTGGCAGTGAATGAAGATTTGAATATAGTGATATTGACTTTTATGATAATTTACATTCACTGCTGAGGCCCACAGAAAATACTGTCTTCACTTTTAGGGATGCACCAAGTATTAATTTTTCCAAAATACCAAGTACCAGGTACTCAGCCAGTCTTGAATACTGGGTACTCAGTGGATTGATTTACGCTAGGTTATTTTATACAGCCACTGTTAGTGATATCCAAATTATAATTGAATTGTCCGAAAATTGATTTACTTTTCTTGAGTAAACATACCACAAAAAAAATAGTTGTACAACTTTGAAGATATTTTGTGAGTAGGTTAGAGTATTTATGGTATTTTCGGAAATTTTATTTTTATCTTTAAATTGCATTTCATACATTTTTCACTATGGTACAACATTCAAGTTAAAATTGAAACAATGTTTTAATAATACATTTGATTTTGATATCTTTATTATTAAATGAGAAGCACATACAGTAATGGACAAAAGTATATAGACAAATATGAATATTTACCTAAATACCTTTAGAAATAGAATTCATACTTCATTGCTCCATAAACAAATGCGTTATTAGTAGAAAAATTAAATTCCTTGTTTTCACATTATCTGCAATGAACACAACACAAGTCTGAATATAAGCACTTTTTTATGAGGGACAAAAATATGTAGACAAATTGTTTTCAACATTAGTTTAGTACAGTTTCATGTCAGAAGAAGATTAGTTTGTGTTCATCAAGTAATGTGAGTCATTTTAAGACCATGCTGCATGGTCCAGAAATTTCTTTTCATGTGAAAACAAAGATCATTGAGTTATAAAAAAATGGCCAATGTTGAGTCGACATTGCCAAAAATTTGAAGCTGAAGCGTAAAGCAGTTTGGGCAATATTGAACAAATATAAACAAAAAGGTATATTGGAAGCCTCTAAGAGAAGTGGTTGGCCTAGAAAACTAAATGCTAGATCAGTTAGATCAATAAAAGTAATTTCGTCCAAAGATCCATTTAAAACCCAAAGACAAATAAAAGCCAAAATCGAGACAAAAGAAATTGTCAGTGTTTCTAGGAAAACTATAAGTAGAAGACTAAATGATTTGAAGTTATTTGCACATCACCCGAGTAAGAAGCCGCTAATCTCGAGGAAAAACCTTAAGGACCCATTACAATTTGCACAGTTGCATCTTGATTGGAGCATCTGTGACTGAAAGAGGGTATGTCTCAGTGACGAATCCAAGCTCAATATGTTTGGATCAGATGTTGTTGATTACGTTACATGTCCTAGTGGACCAAGATTGAACCCCAAGTACACTTTGCCCACTGTCAAGCATGGAGGTGGGTCTGTTATGGTTTGGGGGTGCTTTTCGGGGTTTGGGATGGGACCTTTACATAGAATAGATGGCATTATGGATAAGTTACTATACACAGACATACTAAAGCATGTCATGTTACCCTATATGGAAGACAATATGCCCTTATATATTTTTGTCCTTCATAGTTCCAGTTTTTTCAATTAATTTTTCATTGAAGGGAGGCTAATGAATTTATTTATGTATAAGTGAGTATTATGCTATAACGAATTATGTATACAGATTTGTGTATTAATAAAACAAGTTAAAAAAGAAATACAGCACAATATTAATTTGACTATATACTTTTGTCCATTACTGTATGTGAATCATTTAAAAGATATTTGCTCAACATCTTAAAACTACATTTTTTGTTACAAGTAGGCAATGTTGGGCATACAATTTTTTAAAAATTACCTAATGAAATCGCTGTTGTCATGGGCAATATGTATACTGAGATTAAATACAGGTTGTTGGGGTGCCTTTAGAAGGAGTTTACACTGGAAACCAGGTAAAACTGCTACTAAACCTTAAATATCTTTAGCTATAAGTAAATGTTTTCTTTGAGGAAATGTGAAAAACTGTTATTTACAATGCTTTCTGACTTAACATAAAATTATGTTGAGATAGTGGAAAATATATACATACTCCAACAAATCAAAGACCTTTCAACAAATGTTTTTCTATACAAATATTCTATCATATGCAATATGAAGCATTTTTCATGTTTAAAGATCCTTTTCGAACCTTGTTATTTGTATTTCCCATGCAGAATGTTCCAATTATACTATATAAACGGAACAAGGTTTCTAGGAATTCTATAGTAGTCACAAACTGTTTGTTTATAAAAATAGTACCAAGCTCAATGAACTAATAATAAAAAACGTGGAAAGGTTAAAGTACTCACCTGATATGTGGTATACCTATGCCTCCATGTAATAGTTTATACAATTTACTCTCATATAACAGTTGAGGATGTCTTGCCCTAATAGATTCTAGTTTAACAGCAACCTCCTAAAAAAAAAAAATAGTTCAAAAAATGTAAGCTAAGTAAGGATAATATGCATCATCCTTGAATGTAAAATACAGTGGAAAAACGGATTTCTAATTGATGGAGTAACAAATGAGAAACCTTGACTCATTGCAAGTTTTTTACCTTAACAATACAACGGTTATTGATTCAGATGAACACAAATAATTAAGAGCAAATCTAAATATGAAATGAAAAATAATTCAACATTCAAACAAACCAAAATGCATTGGATAACGAAATTGTGAAATGTGTTGTAGCATAGGTAGACTGTGGAACCAGATAAATAACCTACTTTTTATCTATTACAAAACAATGCGGGTCCACCATTTAGACATTGAAATAAGAATATTTTGGGCGTAAAAGTGTTTTTAACATACATGCAAGAATCATACACATATCGATATGAATTTGCTGATTTCGTAAATAAGGAAGGGACCGAAAAGATATGGCTGCCATTGCAGTCTGCTAGTGTCAAATGGGTTAACACTTCAAACAAAGAACCGTACTCAAATTACCATGCTGCTAATACGAATCCATAAGAATGAAGAATATTTTACATACCTCTCCATTTGTTATATTTATTCCCAGATATATGTCACCAAAAGATCCACTACCGATTTTACGTACTAACCGATATTTACCACCCACTATAAATTCCGGTTTTCCCATTATATGTGATGCCATTTTAACAATTTGAAATGAGTCTTTGATAGAAAATAGTTAATCAATTTTGAATACCGCGAAAACCAATATTTTTCACACAATAACACGATCACTTGTTCCTCCTAGCACGCCGACATATTTCTCCGACTGATAGGTTTTTCGTGACGTCACAAAGACTGATACGCACTCTTGCGGACTTTCTCGTAAGCAAACGGTCGTTTATACAGGGAGGTGCGACGTAATTACTGTCGTTTTAATTGAAAATCAATACGTCCAGAGGCACTGAATTCACATGATTTTTACGCATGTAGACTTATATGAAAGTAAAGAAAAGTTATTATCGTCTTTATTAACACTTTGTACATCATATTTCTGAGATCCTTGATGACCGATGAGAGACGTGACTGCAAGCACGATTACTATCACCGCACTAAAAATCGTTGGGGTAGGAATTTTGTGTTTGAATTAAATAGATATAAATAAGAAATACCTATACAATTTCAAATTATAGATAGACATGATTTTTCCTCGTATTTCTGATAAACAAGTAGTACATTATTATTTGAGACCATTCGGATGGCTGCGAATGTAGACACAAGATATGGCACAAATTTGTATAACGTGTTGCATAAATGCCGGAGAATCGTACTGATCATATACAGAATGAGTCACGAAGCAGTCGTTCATCCAATAGGCCAGTCATGGTAGATACATCTTTGTCTTTACATTATTGCCTATTTTTTATTTATAATCTTATACTTTGGTGGAGACGTGTACTTTATGAATAGTTTTTTCGGGCGTCAAATCTCCCAAGGACCCCTTTATGTCCGGTTAAGTAACTTTGGCGCCCGCTATGTATAAATTATGCTGAATCATTGCTGAATCTGGTTATCAGTGGGGAGTGGATTTATTCCTAGCTGAGACGATACGGTAATACCGTAGTACGGTCAACGTGCTCCTATTTTTAGTTTTTCTTAAATTCTACTCATAATTTTTAAATATCGCTGGTTATAGGTGAAAATTTATGTCGGGCATCTAGGTCCATTGGAGCTTTTTGTTTAGACGCACTGCTTTTGAAATGAAAATTATTCAGTTAACTTATACATCTATCTCTTTATCGTTATTCAAAAATAAAACAAACATAACGAAAAGGTTTATGATGCACTTTTCAAAAAAGTCTTTGAGAAAACGACACTTATTTTTGCAAGAATCAGTGGTGTACAAAACGATCAAAGACGATTTTTTTATGTTGCCAGGCCCAAAATTGCGACAAAAGATATTTAAACATCTTCTTGAACAAGTTCCAAACATTCTTTTGCTCGTTTCGGACAGTTTTTTGGGTCATTTTGAACAAAAAAGGTACTTATAAATTCTTGCTTAATGTTCATAGTTTTAGAGATATAAGCGAATCAGTATTTGAAAGAGTCGAAATATACCAATTTCAACCCCAACAATACGAAAAAATGAAAATTTTAATGTTGTCATAGTTCCCAAATAGTTTTCAAAGATCCATTAAGGTCCCAAAGCACTCTATGTGGTACTGTTATTGTAAACCTTTGTTTTTTAGTTGTTAATCAAGCGCGGTTTTGTACTCGATTCACAGAACGTATGAACAAATTAAAATATGAACATTTTTTCATTTTTCAACATAGTTCAACATTTAAGCATTTCGCAATTTGAGACACCAGCTTTATTTAGTAACTGTTTCTTTCAACATGCCATTATTTTCCAAGCGCTTTCCACCAAGAAATTCCTTAAGTTATGGAAGCATTGAAAGTCTGTTGGTGCTGTATGGCGGATGATCCAGTACTTCGCAATGGTACCGCGTTTGTGTTCTTGCCGCAATATGACCCCTCAAGAGCAGTCACCGCTGGCTGTTTTGAATAGCGTGCCTAAGCTTCAATAATGTTTAACAGCTTCTCTAGCATTTAAATCGCAGGTTGAGCTGCGTTTAAAAACCGATTTACTGCACTATTTTACTACACAATCGGCGGGCTTACTGAGTGACAAGGCGTCACACGAAGCACCATGACCACGCAACCAACACCGAAAGAGTCGAGAAGCTCAATGGCGGCTTGGTGAAAGGCTGGCTTAGAGTGTCTGAGGTTGAACGGAGGTCACATGATAGGATGCGCGGGCCCGATGCGCAATCGGTTCTTACCTTAAAAATGGCCCTCGTATAATATTTTTTGACAGATTCCAACTACTCAACATCAGACAATTTTGATTCAGGAAAGGCTTGTCTACCAAACACGCTGTGATTCATGATATAGAATGGTGAAAAATGTGTATGAATGTTTACTGACTTGAGCAAAGCATTCGACTTAGTTGATCATGTTATACTTCTGTATAAATTGTGATCCACAAGATGAATAAATTATTATTACACTTTTATTATTACTCTGTGTGAGCGCAGCATAGAGGGGGGCCGCCTGCTGTATGGTACATTTCGCAGCAATTTTACAAATATCAAGTAGCTTTTACTTTGAAAACTATCAACTTTAGAGAAAAGTTCATAAGACTCCATAACATGCTGAGAAACTTTGTTTTAGCAATTTTTGGGGCAATTTTGGGCCTGGCAACATACAGTTTCGCCAAAAGGGGCCCTTTTTGAATAAGATTATGCAAAAAAACGAATCAAAATAGTTTTCAGTACATATGCAAAGCTTCTTCTTTGACTACAGGGTATGGGAGAAGGTAGCAAAAGTGTGAACCTTAATTCTATTCAATCTGCTTGACTATTTTCACTTACTCATGCGTTGGAAAATGATACCTACTCATCAGCAACCTATAAAATTCGAGTGGATACAAATATTTCCTTATCAATCCCAGATAAATATGTATCAGTATGTGAATGAGCTGAACTGTGTTATATGTTTGAGTGGTTCCGACCGACCACATGTTTCCTCGTTTAAATATAGTACTGAAGATGACTTTGTTTTCGGCATGTGTGACGCTATTCTCTTGTGTGATTTATCTTTCTTATGTTTTTGGAGTAGGTAGCTATGGTACACTTGACGAGGAAGGTGAGATTCTAGCTTTGCATATACGAGTACTGTGGTACGAAAAGGAATATAGCAATACACATCGCATGCGCATGTCGCGGCATCTCTTTGACTTGACCAAGTCGGGTATCCCGCCATATTCATATACGCCTTACCATGGGCGTACGATGTGTTTTGCTACTATCTTTCTTTTCAGTACCCGAGTGTAGCTGTGCATTACTTATAAATAGTAACAGTTTGAACTAGCACTGATTGAGAAAGTATTAAAAGTCCATTATCCATAGCCCATCTAAGCCCGTTGGAAAATAATGTTAAAAATGAAACATTTTTGTTTTTTAGAATACTGGTTTCACTTTGTGACATCGTTCATATGTCCTGAAGGGGTTTTCGGATCTGGCATTCGATATCTGTCGCACGAAACTGTCGGATCAGGGTCTCTAAGGGCCCCTGGGGAATTTAGAGTTCTTATAGTAGAAGATCAGATTTAGAAGCGACCTTCACCCATCGGTTTAAGGGATGAAAAGTATTTTATATCAAATTTAGCATGTTAAAAAATATAACGCGTGTGGATTGGTTAAGAAATTCCTGGCGAGACGATGATTAAGTAAAAAAAATGGCTTTTTATTAAAAGTTGCACTAATAAGTTTAACGAATAAATTTAATACCAACCGCAAGTATAAAGCCTACAGAATATGCAATTGTTGGGTTGTCTATTCTTTCCTGGCATCACTACTGGGTTGGCAGGTATATCTAAACAAGTATGTTGATACTAGTTGTTTAATAAATAAATCTTATATCAAAATAAGCACCTTTTATTGCGAATGATGGTTGGCAGGTTTTTAAGAATGAGATTTTGATGTGAATAGAAACTTGCGACGAAGAGGTCCCAGTTACGTATCCCGTGTGATACAAGAGAACGCATGTACAGGATTTAGCGTTACTTTTTAGTTGTGATTAATATAGAAAAAAAGAAAAACTTAGCGCACAAAGTTTTGAATGATTTATTGAGCAATTGGACAGTAAATGAAATAATGATATTGTAGCACCCTGTATAATGCGGTAAGTCACAGTTCGACTCATTTATTGTTGTCAAATAGTACCAATAGCACGACCCATCCCTCACTTTTCCAGTTTATACGACGTTTGATGTGGAAACACTATGCTAGTGTTGCCATTTTTACGCCCTATGAGCTGTGTAATACTATGGGCAATACATACAGGGTGCTCATTTGAAAACTTCCTACCACGGATGTATCGAAAACCACTGATTAAAAGAAAAAACGCCGTCATCCTGGTGACATTCGTAGAGCGACGAATCTCGTCCATGAAGTGAGAAATGCACTCCATGAATTCCGCAATGAGCAGTGGAGCGGCTTTCTGGCGGGGATGCTTGAATCAAGTATTCCTCTCTGGAAAGTGGCAAAATCGCTCAGAAACGGAAGGCAAGAACATTTACCACATATTCATGGTCCTGGAGGCATAGTTTTCAGGACTGAGGATAACGTGGAGGTTTTTGCTGACGTCATGGAAAGGCAGTTCTCTCCCAATTATGATCTGGACAATGACCTTGAACCTGGAGAGGATCAAATCACCAATAAAGCACTGAAGTTGCTGTCGCTCGAGGCTTTGACTTATCTGGTGGCAATAATTAATGCAATGCTCAGAACTCATTACTTTCCTAAGGCGTGGAAGGTCGCTGAAGTTATCATGATCCCAAAGAAGGCAGGTTTGATATTCCCCCAGGATTACCGTTCCATTAGTCTGCTGTCAGCTCCTTCTAAGCTCGCTGAAAAAGTGATTTATCGTCACCTTGAGAATTTCTCGTCAGATCACCATATTATTCCTGACGTGCATTTCGGTCTGAGCATAGTACTGAGCTACAGGCAGTTAGACTGGTGGATCATGTAACCAGGGGGTTCACCCTGAACAAAAGTACTGGTATCTTGTTTTTAGATGTATCAAAGGCATTTGACAAGGTGTGGCACATGGGCCTCTTGTATAAGCTCATCCAAAAGGGTTTTCCATTTTGGCTACTAAAACTGTTGAAATCTTTTCTAGATGGAAGGAAGTTTCGGATCAAAATTAACAATGTGTTGTCAACAACGCGGCTCGTAAGAGCCGGTGTTCCTCAGGGTTCGGTCTTAGGACCAATCCTGTATTCACTTTATATACTTGACGTCCCTTGCCCCAGCAACTGTGAAGTCTATCTCTCTGCTGACGACATTGCATTGCTAGCCCAGCCCAGGGGTTGACCTGGCAGAAACATACTGATATTTTGAAAACAAAATTCCAAATTACCTTTCGGCAGCTTTATCCTTTGTTGTGCAGAAATTCCAAATTAAGTTTGTTCAACAAGATTCGGTTGTATAAAATGGCCATAAGACCCGCAATCATCTACGCATGCGCGGCTTGGTGTTTTCTTGCCAAGACGCACATGCAGAGACTGCAAGTCCTGCAAAACAGAACCCTACGCACAATTACTAACGCCTCTTGGTACGTGTCAAATGAGACCATTCACAGAGATCTTGATACTCCATATCTAAGGGATCATGTAAAGCAACAGGCGCTGCGGCGTTATAATGAAGCGGAATCGCACAGCAACCCTCTGTTGCGTGATTCAGTAGACTACACAGTCGAGCAAGTTCGCAAACATTCCAGGCCGCGCCTCGCACTGTGATCAAAATTAAATTGTAAATTCAGACCACCCAAAATTATTTCAGTATACAAAACCGATCAAAATTATTTTTTGGAGTTACAAAATAATTTGAGTAGCCAAAGCAATAATACTTAAGCTATTTCAAATGATTTACTTCTTTTCTTTGCTCTATTTCTTCCTTACTTTCTTTCCTTCTTTCTCGTTTTCCCTTAAACATGTTTGGTATCTGGGTAGCCAGACCTAACCGACTAACTGACCGACGAGACTTTTTTAACTAAGAGCAAAGGTCCACCGGACCGCTCTGACGAATAATGACGAATAGTAGAAAAAACGCCGAGACACGTCAAAAGATTTGTCAAGGGGGACAACTTTTTAACCAAAAACTACTAAATTTTAAACGACAAGGGGTATCAGACAATAGCTTGTTCGAAAGCCCTTCATTTTGACGTTTGATCTTTCAAAATCAGTTGATTCGTTTTCGAGAAAATTAGAAAAAACTTTACTTATCTTAATCTGTTCAGATAGAATACAAAACATCAAAATATCACTTTTTATTTCAATAAGTGTTAAAAATGTTGCCCGTTAGGGTTTGCCAAATCTACAATTCATTTATAATTTAAAACGGAAACTACCAGCATAATCAACAATTCGGAAAATTGGACGTGACAACAACCAAATAAACCGAATTTTTTTCTGGATTCTGTTCATTAACACATACAGGGTGTCCGGAAAAAAGTGTGCAATATTCTACCAGCGGTTTCTAGAGCTTAAAATAGGAATAAAAGTTTATATAAACATAGGTCGACAAACGTCCCCTAAGGGCGCTACGGTCTTTTAAAGGGGCTCCCTTGAAGATGGTTTTTCCTTAATATTTCCGAAACGTGTTGAGATAAAGACATAAAATCTGGTATTCTAGCCTAGTTTTTTATGCTGGATTTAAAAATATTAACAGTTTTAGACAGTTTTGTTTGGAAGTGTATGTAACAGGGACGGACTCAGGTTATTTTAGCCCCAAAATTTTTGTGTGATTCTATTTTTAAAATTCAATTTTATAATTTGAAAATTTAGTGTTTTCCACATAAAAAAGGTACCCTTATTGAATATCGCTAAATTGTGCCATTTTTGAATAAAATCAAACTAAAGAATTTGTCACATGATAGGAAATGTACTGCGAATTTAAATAGTTAGCCATGGCAACGAAAAAACTAATTTAATAATTGGTAAATATTACATAAATACATATTTCTATTGCAACATATAATTTCGAACATTGCTTCCAAAATGTGCAGGGGCGCCATCATGTTGAGGAAACATATTTTCTTGCATCTGCTGGCGCACATCCAATGGTATTATATCCATGAGCTCATTCTGAAGAAAGTTCAGATACTCCTGCCCATAAGTTCAATGAAAATCTATGTTGGAAATTTGTACGGCGAACAACTTTTGGATTTTCATCTGACCAGTGATGCATGTTATGGAAATTAAAAGCACGATTCCTAGTAAATATTGACTCATCCGACCATAATATTCTAGGAATAGTGTTTTCATTTGCTAATATCCACTGGCAAAACTCGATTCGTGGTAAAAAATCTGCCTCCGTTAAATGCTGCACCCGTTTAAAATGATAAGGATGTAATCCTTGCATTCTTGTCATTCTTCCTATCTAAAATTATTATTTTTAGGATAACTTTCAAATAGGTATTCATAAATTTTTCTTACTATTGATTGAGGTATATCCATAATTTTGAAACATTTCGTATGCTTATTTGCGGATTACTTTCAAACATATTTAAAGCAATATCCAAACGATGATTTCCCAGTGGCCTTCCTGAGCCCTGCATGCGCTGAAAACTTCCATGGTTTGACAAATTCCGGTGAATATCAGTAAACATTCGACGTCCAGGTACTATGCGATTGGGAAATCTTCTTTGATATTCTCTTACGGCTGCAAATGAACTGCCATTGCAAAACCTGTACACAAAGTGCATGTCAGTCAGTTCTCTGTCTGTAAATCTTGGCATTTTAAATCGATTTAATAAAAATTTTGATTTTAATCTAGTAATTTTACACTGCTAACAATGTCAGCTTAACGTCAAAATAAGTCATAACAAATCAAAACAACTTTTGTTTGCAGTCATGGCTAACTATGTATAATCAACAATTCATTTAAATTCGCAGTACATTTCCTATCATGTGACAAATTTTTTAGTTTGATTTTATTCAAAAATGGCACAATTTGTCGATATTCAATAAGAGTACCTTTTTTATGTAGAAAACAATAAATTTTCAAATTCTAAAATTGAATTTCAAAAATAGAATCACACAAAAATTTTGGGGCTAAAATAACCTGAGTCCGTCCCTGTTACATACGCTTCCAAACAAAACTGTCTAAAATTGTTAATATTTTTAAATCCAGCATAAAAAACTAGGCTAGAATACCAAATTTTAAGTCTTTAGCTCAACACGTTTCGGAAATATTAAGGAAAAACCATCTTCAGGGGAGCCTCTTTAAAAGACCGTAGCGCCCTTAGGGGTCGTTTGTCGAACTATGTATATATAAACTTTTCTTCCTATTTTAAGCTCTAGAAACCGCTGGTAGAATATTGCACACTATTTTCGGGACACCCTGTATATTCTGGGCGAACTGTTAGTTATTTGTTGCTAAGGGAAAGAAAGAATTTAATTTGCTGTCAGTTACCTTTGTGGTAATGTTGGGATAGTGAAAATTAATTTATTGATTCAGATTTGACTTCCAAAATGGTTTACACACTAGCCGAAAGAGTGGATTTATGGACATCCGGGGACGATACTTCGCATCGGTATGTTTTGGACATTGTTACTCAAACTTCATCTGTTGCAAATGAAAAACGTGATCATCAGAGAGTTCTGCATGAAGCCGCTGAAGTTGGGTAAATCCTTATACATACTTCATTACGCAAAATGTTGCTCAGACTGGTATTTCGTTAGGTTCTGTACACGCAGTTACTAAACTCCATAAATTTCATCCATTCAAAATGAAAATATTGCAAGACTTAACCGAAGATGATTCCGATAGACGAGTTGAGTTTTGTCAACAAATGACTGCAGCGATTAATCATAATACAGAAAATATCTGCTTCAGTGATAAATGCATACGTTATCTAAATGGATTTGCTGATAAGCATAACTGCAGGTATTGGAGCAATGAAAATCCTCATGCTTTTGTAGAAGGGCATACTCAGTACCGCCAAAAAATTAACGTATGAACAGGCATTTTAGGTAATAAGTGATTAGGTCATTGTTTATTAATGGAAATTTGAATAATGACATTTTATTTGGATATCAATGAAACCATTGAAAACCAAATCGAAAAGGATGGAAACCCTATACTTGATGAGGCTGAGATATATTTCCAACAAGACGATGCTCCTCCTAGCTATGCTCTTCCGGTTCGGTAATGGCTAGACGACGAGTTTCCAGATAAATGGATAGGGCGAAGAGGGCCTATAGATTCATCTCCTGATTTGACGACATTAGATTTTTTTCTATGGGGCCGTTGGAAATATATTGTGTTTACTCCGCAACCTGAAAGTTTCGATGAACTTCGTCAACGCATCATCAAAAGCTGCCATGATATCCCACAATATGCTTTTGAAAATGTCCGTTAGGAATTTGAACATCGCCTATATCATTGTTTGGTCAATAACGGGCAACATTTTGAACCCTTATTGAACTAAAAAGTGGTATTTTCGTGTGAACAAATTAAAATAAATAAAGATTTTTCTAATTTTCTTGAATACTAATCCACGAAGATATTACTCGATACTCCTTGTCTTTTAAAATTTTTAAGCGGATGACCCTGGGGGGCAGAGGGTGAAAGGGGTTAAAGTAGTTTTTGGTTAAAAAATTGTCCACCTTGACAAATCTTTTGACGTGCCTCGGCGTTTTTTTAATCAGTTGGTTTTAATAAATCCGTAGTGGGAGGTTTTCACCTTTGCTTGAGACTGTAATAAAGACAATTTTTATCCATTTTGCACACACACTCATTCTTAAAAATCATTAAATATTATACAGGGTGGCGCATCGAAAACGAAACTGGCAGCTCAGTTTTTTTTTGGAAAAAAGCTCAGACCCGTCGATTTTGTTTTCGAGGGGGACACAAGTTGGGCAGGGGTGACACCAACCCTAAAATCTTAAATGGAAAGGGGGGTCGAGTGATACCTTATTTTAAAGGTCTTTCAATTCCCTTTATAATGATGTAAAATACATGAGCTTCAGTTCAGTAGTTTTGAAGATTTATTGATTTAAAGCTTAAAGTAGACTTTAATTGGTACATCAGATTAGTTTGCACCACTTTCAGAAGAAATTTGACTAAAATAATTTACTTCATAAGTAAATGCTTTTCTTTGCTACACCCATGGTTTGTTTATCAGTTTGTTGTTGAAAATAGCTATTGTTTTTTTGTGGCAAAAAAGTTATTTCTTGAAGAAAGATAAGGAAATATCTCGTACTTATTTTAAATAGAAATTTAGTACATAGTTTGCGATTGGTTTGACCAAACTTTGCTGCTAAAATAACTTGTAACGCTTCATTACATAAATTAACCATGGTATATTCCACAGCAGAGAGAGTTGAAATTATCGAAATATTTTTCGGAAATAATCAGTGCGCTAATAGAACAGCAGAGATATTTAATGAGCGACATGTGAACAGTAACGTGCATCGACAATATGTTCTAGAAGTTGTAGCTAAAATGCGGGAAACTGGGTCAGTCGCCAATAAAAAACGCAACATTGAAAATTCCATAAGGAACGAAGCAATAGAAGTGGGGGTTTTAGGGCAAGTTTATGTAGATCCTACGTTAAGTACCCGCAAATTGGAGACTGTGTATGGTGTTAGTCGACGTACTGTCCAAAGGATTCTAAAGGCCCACAGTTTTCATCCATATAAAATTCACCTGGTACAAGAACTTAATGAAGACGATTTTGATCGACGATTACAATTTTGTGAAGATATGAGTGAACGAATTATAAACGATGAACATTTTCTATTCAACACTTGCTTTTCCGAGGAATGTTCCTTTTTCTTAAATGGCGTAGTAAATCGTCATAACTGCTGATATTGGTCCGATTCTAATCCCAGAATTTATCATGAGGTTCATACACAGCAGCCACAAAAATTAAATGTTTGGGTGATCATTTAGTTGGTCCTTTTTTTTTACCTGGAAATTTGACCGGAGAAATATATTTGGAATTACTGGAAGAGCCATAGATCCTGCATTAACAGCCATAATTGAAAATCAGAATGATCGGCGGTACATTGCGAATAGGTTGATGTTCCAACAGGATGGTGCCCCACTACAATACGCATTACGTGTTCGACAATATTTAGATCAGACGTTTCCAGATCGATGGATTGGTAGAAGAGGTGCCATTGAATGGCCCCCAAGATCGCCAGATTTATCACCTTTGGATTTCTTTATGTGGGGTCATTTAAAAAGCAAAATCTATGCTACTCCGCCAATATCATTAGAAGACCTGCGACAAAGAATTACCCCTCAAATATTGCAAAATGTGCGGCAACGTTTTGAGCAAAATCTTTATTATTGCATGGAGAGTCATGGTTGCCATTTTCAACATTTACTTGCCTAACGGGTCAGTTCATTCTTCATTTTTAAATTACTTTGCTGCCAAATGTATTGATCTCCACTAATGATGATGTATCAGTTCTATTTAAGCTTTAAATCAATAAATGTTCAAAACTACTGAACTGAAGTACAAGCTGCCAGTAAATGCGTCTGTTTCGTTTTCTATGCGCCACTCTGTATATCGGAACGCTACAAATATAAAAGAGAAAAGGAATCTTATACGGTAGCATTTGGCAACACCTTAATAATTCGTCATTTCAGACCACTTTGAGTTAACGTCGATCGAGATATTTATTTTTATGTCCGTTGAACTGATCCGTTTTGAATCGGAGAGATTGTTTATAAATTAACAAAAACATCGTACATATAAAAAGATATATAATACAAAAAACACGCTCTAACAACGTCCTATAGTACGCATACACAATTGGACATTTAGTAGACGTCATTACGACGTCGATATTTGGAAAAATCACGTCAGTTGACGAGTTATCACAAAATTTCGACATACTTATCATGCGATTGAGCCAGCTGGGTATCTATTTTCAGGATATTGGGATAGTGAGTTTTATTTATTCATTGACTATTTTTTTTTCTTTTAATTTTTGAATCTCCTATCTTCGATTTTGTTCCAGACGATTTCGGATATATTTCCTCTACGCACGCACGAGAGCTAATAGACCGTTTAGTAAAAGAGATACCAGAGAGGGTATCACATCAAAGTGGTCCTACGTATGACATTCCCTTAAATCCATTTGACATCAGGTAGAATTTTAAATCTTTCACAATTTTCAAGTAAAACTGAATAGATAAATGTTTATTAACTTGTTAATTTATTGTACGATAACGTAAAACTGTAATTAGGAGACAAGCAAGAATCAACTAAAACAACAACTGAGTATCGTTATTATTATCTACTATGACATACCTATAAAAGCATATTGTTGGTTGTGGTTACTGAAATTAAGCAGACAATATACTAAGTGACATATAAATCCGAACACCCAGTTTAAATGGTTTTATTTTAAGAAAAGTTGGTGAATGTATTTATCTTACTGTAAATAACAAGTGAAAAAATTTTCAGCCTTATCAGTTGGACATTCCGGTTTTTATACTACTTTTTTTAATTCACTAACGCTCTAAAAATGAATATTTCAGCCGCAGTAAAGAATCAACGTTGGCGGATTTTGGTTCTTGACATCCTTGACGATCGGTTACGATGCCTAGAGTACGGAGACCTGTACGATTTCGTCAACTTAGTGAGTTTGATAGGGGCCGTATAGTGGGACTTCGGGAAGCTGGACCTTCTTTTCGGGCAATTGCAGTTAGAATGCAAAGAAGTGTAGACACTGTGGTTAGGTGTTGTCAGGCATGGCTTCGAGAAGGCCGTACGCAAAGAGCAAGGGGCACTGGACGCCGCCGTAGAACAACAGACCGTGAAGATCGCCGCCTAAGATTATTGGCCTTAAGGGACCGTTTCTCCACTACCAGGTCCATTGCAAATGAATGGTTTGCAGAACACGGAAGACCTATTGGCAAGCGAAGTGTTTACCGACGAATGAGAAGTTTTGGCTTGTTTTCATACCGGCCACACTGGATCCTCCCTTTAACTCGAGAACACAGACGTAATGGCCTTGAGTGGTGCAGACAACGGTCACTCTGGGATCAGGAATGGAACAGTATTGTCTTTAGTGACGAGTCTCGATTTTGTTTAGGCATGCACGATGGTCGTGCCAGGGTTAGAAGGCGACGTGGTGAAAGGAGGAATCCACAGTTTTTTGTTGAAAGACATGTTCATCACACTGTTGGAGTTATGGTTTGGGGTGCTATAGCTTATGGTTCCAGGTCACCTTTAATCTTGATCAGAGGTAACATGAACGCGCAGCGTTATATCCACGAAGTTCTAGAACCCCATCTTTTACCCTATCTTGACACCCTGGCAGATCCAACTTTCCAACAAGATAATGCCCGACCACATGTTGCAAGAGTCACAATAGACTTCTTTCAACATAATGATGTCACATTGTTACCATGGCCACCAAGATCTCCCGACTTATCCCCAATTGAGCACGTGTGGGATATGATGGGTAGGAGATTGCTCAATTTGCAACGTCCTCCTCAGACTCTAGAAGCACTTCGAGAGGAGTTGGTGGTTGCCTGGAATGAGATACCACAGGAGGACATTGACCACCTTCAGAAGCATGCCTAGGCGCGTTGTGCATCCACACATTATTAAAGGTCAAAGGGCTTTAAAGCAGCGCAATCATTTTGACATTTTTATCATTTACTTATTATGCTTCATTAAGTACTTATACAAAATTTTATTAAAATAAAACCACTTAAACTGGGTGTTCGGATTTATATGTCACTTAGTATGATTTTAACAAATGATAAATAGTCCAGGCAATATCTTCGTATCTGATGAGAAAAATATTCTGATTCGGATTTCCAAAAATAGTTTTTTTGACACTAGTCAAAGTACTTTTAGAATTTTTGGAATATTCTGAATAAAAAAGTACTTTCTTACTTCTCTTTAAAGTTTGTAGTTTTTGAGATATAAGCGATGCAGTATTTGGAAAAGTGCGAAATATGCCATTTTCGACCCCAAGGAACGGTATGAAAACAAAATCCCAAACCATTTCAGCAGGTATTGAAATATTCTAGTTCAAAAATTTTTTGGACGTGTTCCAAATCTCAGACGACCCCTTCCCCGATCTTTAATTATCAATCGTCGATTCTCCCGGCTCTCAAATTTTCAATCGCATGTTCCTGAACACGAATCGTGACCTCCTCCTCCAGAACTTTAGTTAGCTGATAATTTGAAATTCACCATATGGACCACTTCCAAAAATCTTTTCTAGATCCGCCCATGGTTTTAATTGTTAACCAATCGGGCGCTCAGTAAATAGAGATGCAAATATGTAGAGGCGACCCCCTAGCAATAAAAAGGTTCACAATAACAGCACCTCCTGAAATGTCCTGGGATTTTGTTAATGGATGTTCGAAAAATATCAAGGAACATTGGCAACATTTAAATTTATTGTTTTTCATATCGTTTTTCGGGGTCAATAAGGGGATATTTCGTAATTGTTCATTTTTTTTGAATGCCTTATATTTCGAAAACTATCAAATCTAGGGGAGGATTATAGAGCAACTTTTTTTTGTTCAGAATGTCCCAAAAAACTCACAAATACTTTAACCGGAGCGAAATAAAAATAATTTTTGAAGTTTGGCCAAAAAAATTGTATAAAGAAAATTGACCGAAAAGGGGCTTTTTTGTGTAGATAAGGACGACTGACGATACGGCCCTTAAAGAAGTCAACGGAAATGAGTGAGGGCTATTTTATGTCACTAATCATCAAATATGGCATTCAAATAGCTTTGCGAAAAATCAGGGGACCACAGGGTAATACATAAGGGATCTGCGATTTTTTTCTGTTTTAAGGAGTCAACCCTTATGTCCACAGAATCACCCTGTGGGGCTCTTTGCAAAGCTATTTGAAAACCATATTTGACCATAGCCTCCCAGGGTCACATATGTGATTTGTACTCTGTAGTGAACACTGGACTGGTCGACTGTAATTTCAGTTTCGAATCTCAAGCTGATTTCAAACACGCCTAACGTACCAGACAGGGTGTAAACGTTATGGTAGTCATTATTGAAATGGGTAATAGGGGGGTCAAATCAAGTCAAAAAGTTCATATGACCCATGGTCCAAAAGTCAATAGATTTTTGTCTAAATGGCGTTATAGTTTACAACTTTAAGTGATTGATATCGACCACAATCACCACAACCTTACTAATTTTTATAATCTAGTCAAAAACCTTTTAAATTGAGAAATTAACAAATAAATGGCATTAAGTTTTTCTAAGTTAAGCCAAAATTTGTAGTCAATAAGTAAGTAAGTAAGTTTCATTAAATTAAATATTTAAAACACACATGAAAACAGCGCGTCGGTCATCATCACTCTTATCGAGCCGGCAATCGATCGCAAACGGTAACAGTGGTTAGTATGTTGTTTTGTTTTTGTTCGCGTACGTCGTCGTGTTGATTTACAATGTTCTCGAATCAAGAGTTCGCCGACATTTAGTTAGTTTACGGTGAAGCTCGTCAGAATTTAAATCTTGCAGCTCAAATTTAGCCAACGGGTACACCCAGACAGAAGGACATTTTTTTTTATACTCCAACTACCACGAAGGCCTAAGGCCTAAGCACCCATTGGGTACCGTGGGGCTATGGGGGATACATGGGAAAGGGGGGACGCCACACGGACTCTGGCGAGGGAACACGTGTGCATGCAACATGCACACATTCTGGCTCCGCCTACGAGAACCGCCGGGTGGTACCTCCGCGTTCGACAGTCAGAGACCATCTACCACCTACGGACAATCACAACATCCATGGCCAAGAGAAACATTTCTCCTGGGACGGGACTCGAACCCGCACAGCGCGCGGCGGCTGATCAGGAGACCGAAGAGTCTACTACTGCGGCCACCGCTGCTGCCTAAAACAAACACACAACATCCATGGCGAAGGCGAGATTCGAACTCGCGGCCCGGCCGGCCGGCTGATCAGTAGCACGACACTCTGACCCACGCGGCCAACCGAGGTCCCCAGAGCAAGTGCACCAAAGACTTCGAGATACAGGAAGTGTTCAGCCCACTAATATTTGCACTCGTGACAGGGCAGGTTACTGTAGAGCTGGAGGAACAAATTTTAAATATCGTGGAAATCAATGCAGATATCAGCACTTGGGAATTAGGCCTCCGCGTAGGACTATCGCATAGTCGATAGAATCCTACGGGAAACTTTGCTTCATCCCTACCATGTACAACGAGTGCAGGCCTCGTTACCAGAAGACTATCGTCGCAGACTAACATTCTGTCAGTGGTTTTTGCATAAAAACATAGAAAATCCGGATTTTTTTAAAAACATTCTAGACGGACGAATGTACTTTTACCGCGAGACGGGATATTAAATTTTCATAATACTCACACGTGGACCCAGGAAAATCCTCTTACTATTCGTGAAGGTCATTTCCAACAACGTTTTAAAATAAATATTTGGGCGGGTATTCTTGACGATCAGGTAATTGGCCCTTTCGAGTTACCCCCAAAGTTGTCAGGAGAAGGATACCTTAGCTTTCTAGCCAATAACCTACCAGAACTTTTGGAACAGACCTTAGACAACATGCCATTACAACGGAGACATAATTTGTAATTTCTTCATGACGGGGCACCACCACTCATTTTTAGAAGCGTCATTCAGTATTTGAATGAACATTATCCAAATCGCTGGATCGGTTGAAATGCTCCTGATCCTCGAAAATGGCCAGCAAGATCTCCTGACCTCAATCCGATGGATTTCTGGTATTGGGGAGAACTTAAAGGGATGGTTTATGGGGCTGGTCCAATAACAACTAAAGCACAACTTTGCGAAAAAAAATTTAATGCGGCTGAAATAATAAAAGGACAACTTCGAAGACCTAGAGTAAGAAGAAATTGGGTTCGTCGTAATGAAGCTTGTGTGGAAAGTGGAGGACGATATTTTGAACACCTTTAAATACAAAAAGGTGCAGTATGGGTTTTAAAAAGAAACACAATGTGTGTATCAAAATTGTGTTCCCTATTTCTAAGTGGAATTTTTTAATACGTTCAATAAACTTTCACACACCAGGTGAAGCGCTGAGAGAGTTAGTGGTACGTCCGTTTTTTTTGTTTGCATTTTATCAGTACATTATCAAATAATGAAATAATACCGAAGAGCCACAAATAACTCCATCTTTATTTACACTGCGTTCCGTCGTAATTTGCGTCTGACATTGCGGCGTTGCCAGATTTTATTTTACTTTAAAGTCGCTTTTCTCTAAAGAAATGCCGTTTTGACCTACATGTTATATGAAACTTTTTTCTTCTTAAACCCACTCTATCACCCATTTATTTATTTTTATTTATTTATTTGCGGTTAGTACACTGCTCGAACAGATGATTCCATTTAACGAACAGGAAATACAAAAAAAAAGAAAAAAAAACCAATAAACAACCTATCAAGTACATTACACACATTACATCTAAATAAGTTCTTAACCTACAGTCAAAAACAACCTTTTTAAAAGTGATATAGTGCAATGAAAAATGTCTACTAAATTCTTTACTTTTTCATAGTTGTTACACATTACATATAATGGCGAAAAAAGTAACACAATGGTACGAGGCACAGGTAAATAGAAATTGGTATTGTTAAACCTTATGTTTCGGTACGGTACGGGTAATGACAGCTTTTCTAAAAGAAACTGGCAATCAACTGTGTTGTTCAAAATTTTATATAAGAAAACCACAGCGCCGTAATTTCTGCGCTTAGATAAATTTACCATATTAAATCTACTGAGCAATAAGTCATTGCGAAATCCAGCCTCAGGATAAATCCCATCTTCCTTGAACCATAAATATTTAGCAAAACGTCGCTGGATCTTTTCAATGCTGTCCGAATGTACATCATATGCAGGGTACCAAATTATACTACAGTATTCGAGCTTACATCTAACAAAGGCATTGAATAACAATAAAACAGTTTTAGCATTATTGAAGCTCTTGCCACACCTAAGTGTGAAACCCATCGTCTTGTGCGCACCGGTTACAATTTCAGTAATGTGTTGCACAAAAGTTAACTGTGGGTCGAAAGAAACACCTAGATCCCTCACAATGGAACAACCATCCAAGACTTGACCATTTATGTGATAAGCATAACCAATTATATTCTGCTTACGTGTGAAAGACATAGTCTGGCATTTTGTAATATTCAGATACAGCTGATTCAGGCAACACCACTCATACAGACGTACCAGTTCATCCTGAAGCTTCACACAATCGACAATTGTGTCAATTCTAGAAAATAATTTCAAGTCGTCTGCGTACAATAAGTTGCAACAATTTAGTTGGCCACTGACATCATTCACAAATATAGCGAATAATAGCGGACCCAGGACGTAGCCCTGGGGCACCCCAGATGTCGCAGAAACACTGACAAACCTAAAACCACGGTACTCAACGAAAAGTATTCTGTCCAACAGATAAGAACTGAGGAAATTTGCGAATCCAAGTGATATACCACATCTTAAAAGCTTCTGTATTAGTACTCCATGGTCAAGTCTGTCAAATGCTTTTGAGAAATCCGTATAGATAACGTCAATCTGTCCGCAAGTATCTAAAATTTCAGCAGCATGCTGTTTGAAACATGCAAGATTAGATGCAGTCGATCTACCAGGAAAAAAGCCATGCTGATGTGAACAACAGATTCAAATACATTAGCAATATTACTTAGGATCACAATAGCTCTATAGTTTTCAATATTATTTCGGTCACCTTTTTTGAAAACAGGAGTAATGCGAGATTTTTTCCAAACCTTCGGATAACATCTCTGTTCCAAAGATAAACTAAATAGAAAAGTGAGAGGCTCAGCGAGCACATGACAACAATCTTTAAGTAAAAAAGAAGGTATTGAATCCGGACCAGTAGAGCATTTGGATCTAAGTTTACATAAAGCATGGTTGACCTGATCTACTGTGATTTTAGGTAAGTCGCATAACTGACCATTACAAGACACACCAGAGACAGTGTCACCCCTGCCAGAGGTTATGAAATTCGACTGAAAGAATTTAGCGAAAGCATTGACAATATCAGGTGGTGAATTCGGAGCAACGTCATCCAAAACCATATGACTAGGTACACCGGCGACATTTCTAGCTCTGTTAACATATGACCAGAAACTATTTGGATTGTTAGAAATATTCTGTTCAGCATTGGAGGTATATCTATGAAATGCACGATCCAGCTCAATCTTGATACTCCTTCGAAGCTCTTTGAATGCATCAATATCATGTGGATTGCATGTTCGTTTACAACGCTTCCATAATCTCCGTTTTCTTTCAATCTTGGCAATTATTGAGCGGGAGAACCAGGGAGGATAATTGATATCTCTCGGCGTTATTACTGGTAGATACATGAATATCAAACAGAAAGTGCAGAATTTGGTAAAAACTGTCACAAGCAAGATCAACCTCTTTTAGTCCATAAAGGGACGAAAAATCTGCATTAAAGATATCATTGTACAAAGCAAGAATATTACATTTTTTAAAATTATAGAAAGGGATATTATTAACCTCAAATATACAGGAAGAGGTATGAAATGAGAGAATTAGTTCCAAAGGCGGATGGTGACTGTCAATGGGCAACAAGATGTCAAGTGCTTTATTTACCTCTATATCGGTTCTACTGAATACCAAATCTAAGACACGATTATGTTCATTTCGGATATGAGAGTATTGCTTCAGAGTTTGCAAAGTTTGCAAACTTTTGCACAGCCAAAATTTGATTGTTGTTTGACAAGGTTGTTGTCCATATAGTCAACATAACTTGGTATATTAAAATCACCTAAGAGGACTAATTCATTATCAGAATTAAAATAATCAACTGCCAGAATATCACCAAAAACTGACTCATAAATGTCTGCAGACAGATTTGGAGGAATATATATGAGTATGATAATAGCGGTACGCCCCAATCTGTCAATATTAATAGTAACAATATCGAGAGATGATACACTGCGTATCAAGTCGATTTTACTGACTTTGAATGAATTATGAACTGCTACTAGTACACCTCCGCCTCTGTTAACGCCCAGTGCATCATAATTCCTGTCTGACCTGTACAAGGTGTAGTTTTCTCCTACTAGTTCAGCGTCATGTATCTATAGAGGCATTAGCACAAGTTTCAGTGCAATGATATCATACGCACAAGAATAGGATTTAAATAATGACTATCATAACGTTTACACCCTGTATATTTCTCATCAAGTTCGAGAATTGTCTTTATAATTATTATAGTTGATATTTTATTCACCCATATGTTTTTAGTGGCAAAGTACAAGTAGCACACGCAGTGGTACGAGACCTGAACAAGATAAAAATTACAGATTTTTCTTACAACGAAGACACTAAAGTTTTGCAAGCTGTTGCACATTTTGAAAAAATTGCTTTGAGTATGGCCGTCCAAAACGATTTGGAATGGAATGGCAAGAAAAATAAGGATCTGACAGCTATGAGGTATAAGGTTTGATGAAAAATGTACCAGGGTAATGAATTTGGACAGGACTTGGACATACTCGTACATACATTAGTTCAGATGACGTCTGTTAAGCATTATAATGGGTGATTTTTTTGCTAGTATCTTTTCATTTTGCTCAGAAGGGGTTGGATTTGTGGTAGCCTCTCCTGAAGGAGGATCATAGAATAAAACTTCTAATGGGTGATTTTTTTGCTAGTATCTTTTTGGCAACACTGTTTTTGACAGATGACGCGTGAATCGTGTCTTGTGTCATTGTCAAACTTGTTCAGTTTGGTCTATAATTTAACCATGAATCGACTTACGAACGAACAACGCTTGCAAATTATTGAATTTTACTATCAAAATTCATGCTCGGTTAAGAGAGTGCATCGAGCACTGCTTCCAATTTATGGGCAATTTGGTCGGCCTACTGAGGGAGCTATTCGGAAGCTTGGGACTAAATTTCGAACCCAGTGTACATTATTGGACATTAAACCACCAACACGCAGACGTAGAGTGAGGACTGAAGAAAATATTGCGGCTGTATCCGCCAGTGTTAGTGATGACCGTGAAATGTCGATTCGCCGCCGTTCGCAGCAATTGGGCCTCTGTTACTCCACTACGTGGAAAATTTTGCGACAGGATTTTGGGTGTAAAACATTATAAGATGCTGGTGCAAGAATTGAAGCCACACGACCTCCCACAAAGTTTCCAATTTGGTGAATGGGCGCTGGCAAAGTTGGAGGAAGATCCACATTTTTATCGAAAAATTGTGTTCAGCGACGAAGCTCATTTCTGGTTGAATGGGTACGTTAACAAGCAAAATTGCCGCATCTGGAGTGAAGACCAGCCAGAAGCATTGCAAGAGCTACCAATGCATCCCGAAAAAATCACTGTTTGGTGTGGATTATGGGCCGGTGGCATCATCGGGCCGTACTGCTTCAAAGACGACAATGGCCGGAACGTAACTATGAATGACGAGCGCTACCGTGCGATGATAACAAACTTTTTTTTGCTCAAAATGGAAGAGCTGGACTTGACTGACATGTGGTTTCAACAAGACGGTGCCACATGCCACACCGCACACGAAACAATGGCCCTATTGAGAGGCGAGTTCGGTGAACAGTTTATCTCACGTTTGGGGCCCGTCAATTGGCCGCCTAGATCGTGTGATTTAACGGCGTTGGACTATTTCTTATGGGGCCGTGTGAAGGGATAAACCAGCAACGATTGACGCACTGGAAGCCAATATTGAAGCATTTATTCGTGAGATACCGGCCGATATGTTGGAGAGAGTGTGCCAAAATTGGACCTTGCGCATGGGCCATCTAAAGCGGAGCCGCGGCCAACATTTACATGAAATAATCTTTAAACATTAAATTATATCGACCGTTCTAGCGACTCAAATAAAGATTTAATCGTTTTTTCAAATTTTTTGAGTTTTTTTTGGAAATCAAATCCTATCTCTTAAAAAATCATCCGTTATTATCTTCGAAAAACAACTACAGTCCTTCGCATAATTTATCGCATGCCACTATTAACAAGTGTTTTCATGTACGTGTTCTTGAGTCTCACTGTATTCAAAGACACATACCCTATTTCACGAGTATCCATCACCGTAGGATGACAGCTGATGGTTATCTAGTAATACTTCAAAATTCCCCATACTGGCACAGGACACATAATTCTGACAGTGAAATATTATTATCAGTTTTATCAGTCAATTATAAAGAATACCTCAGTAAATTCATTGAATTATATATACAGGGTGGCGCATCGAAAACGAAACAGACGCATTTACTGGCAGCTCTGCTTTTTTTTGGAACAACGCTCAGACCCGTCGATTTTGTTTTCGAGGGGGACACAAGTTTGACAAAAGATCACGTTAGCACGTGTAGCCCCCTAAGCGGGGGTGACACCACCCCCCAAATCTTAAATGGAAAGGGGGGTCGAGTGATACCTTATTTAAAAGGTCTTTCAATTCCCTTATAATAATATAAAATTAAAGTATTTCAGTTCAGTAGTTTTGAAGATTTATTGATTTAAAGCTTGAACAAAACTAATTTAACATGTAACATTTAACGTTTAACATTTAACATTTAACATTTAACATTTAACATTTAACATTTAACATTTAACATTTAACATTTAACATTTAACATTTAACATTTAACATTTAACATTTAACATTTAACATTTAACATTTAACATTTAACATTTAACATTTAACATTTAACATTTAACATTTAACATTTAACATTTAACATTTAACATTAACATTTAACATTTAACATTTAACATTTAACATTTAACATTTAACATTTAACATTTAACATTTAACATTTAACATTTAACATTTAACATTTAACATTTAACATTTAACATTAACATTTAACATTTAACATTGACATTTAACATTTGACATTAACATTTAACATTTAACATTTAACATTTAACATTTAACATTTAACATTTAACATTTAACATTTAACATTTAACATTTAACATTTAACATTTAACATTTAACATTTAACATTTAACATTTAACATTTAACATTTAACTTAACATTTAACATTTAACATTAACATTTAACATTTAACATTTAACATATAACATTTAACATATAACATTTAACATTTAACATTTAACATTTAACATTTAACATTTAAATTTAACATTTAACATTTACATTTAACATTTAACATTTAAATTACATTTAACATTAACATTTAACATTAACATTTAACATTTAACAGTTAACATTTAACATTTAACATTTAACATTAACATTTAACATTTAACATTTAACATTTAACATTAACATTTAACATTTAACATTTAACATTTAACATTTAACATTTAACATTTAACATTTAACATTTAACATTTAACATTTAACATTTAACATTTACATTTAACATTTAACATTAACATTTAACATTTAACATTTAACATTTAACATTTAACATTTAACATTTAACATTAACATTTAACATTTAACATTTAACATTTAACACATTTAACATTTAACATTTAACATTTAACATTAACATTTAACATTTAACATTTAACATTTAACATTTAACATTTAACATTTAACATTAACATTTAACATTTAACATTTAACATTTAACATTTGGCAGCAAAGTAATTTAAAAATGAAGAATGAACTGACCCGTTAGGCAAGTAAGTGTTGAAAATGGCCACCATGACTCTCCATTATTGACTAAAGATTTTGCTCAAAACGTTGCCGCACATTTTGCAATATTTGAGGAGTATTTTGAAGGCACCCATTCACAATTCTGTCACAGGTCTTCTAACGATATTGGCTCAGTGGCATAGAATTTGCATTTCAAATGACCCCACATAAAGAAATTAAAAGGTGATAAATCTGGCGATCTTGGGGGCCATTCAATGGCACCTCTTCTACCAATCCATCGATCTGGAAACGTCTAAATATTGTCGAACACGTAATGCGTAATGTGGTGGGGCACCATCCTGTTGGAACATCAACCTATTCGCATTGTACCGCCGATCATTCTGATTGTTAATTATGGCTGTTAATGCAGGATATATGGCGTCTTCCAGTAATTCCAAATATATTTCACCAGTCAAATTTCCAGGTAAGAAAAAAGGACCAACTAAATGATCGCCAAAAATACCAGCCCAAACATTTAATTTTTGTGGCTGCTGTGTATGATCCTCATGATAGATTCTGAGATTAGAATCGGACCAATATCGGCAGTTATAACGATTTAAGAAAAAATTTAAGAAAAAGGAACATTCTACGGAAAAACAAGTGTTGAATAGAAAATGTTCATCGTTTATAATTCGTTCACTCATATCTTCACAAAATTGTAATCACCGATCAAAATCGTCTTCATTAAGTTCTTGTACCAGGTGAATTTTATACGGATGAAAACTATGGGCCTTTAGAATTCGTTCGACGATACGTCGACTAACACCACACACAGTCTCCAATTTGCGGGTACTTAACGTAGGATCTACATAAACTTGCCCTAAAATCCCCACTTCTATTGCTTCGTTCCTTATGGGATTTTCAATGTTGTGTTTTTTATTGGCGACTGACCCAGTTTCCCGAAATTTAGCTACAAGTTCTAAAACATATTTTCGATGCACGTTACTGTTCTCATGTCGCTCATTATTTCCGAAAAATATTTCGATAATTTCAACTCTTTCTGCTGTGGAATATACCAATAAAGCGTTACAAGTTATTTTAGCAACAAAGTTTGGTCAAATCAATCGCAAACTGTGTACTAAATTCCTATTTAAAATAACGTACGAGATATTTCCTTATCTTTCTTCAAGAAATAACTTTTTTGCCACAAAAAAAAAAACGCTCCAGTAGCTATTTTCAACAACAAAATGGGCGTAGTGAAGAAAAGCATTTACTTATTAAGTAAATTCTTTTAGTCAAATTTCTTCTGAAAGTAGTACAAACTAATCTGATGTACCTATTAAAGTCTACTTTAAGCATTAAATCAATAAATCTTCTAAACTACTCATGTATTTTACATCATTATAAAGGGAAATGAAAGACCTTTGAAATAAGGTATCAAACGATTCCCCTTTCCATTTAAGATTTTAGGGTTGGTGTCAGCCCCGCCCAGAGGGCTGCACGTGTTAACGTGATTTTTTTGCCAAACTTGTGTTTCCCTCGAAAACAAAATCGACGGGTCTGAGCGTTTTTCAAAAAAAACTTCGCTGCCAGCAAATGCGTGTTTCGTTTTCGATGCGCCACCCTGTATATGTCGTTTCCGTGTTTATGGGAGGTGAAGAGTAAAGAGTCCGCAATGATAAATCTCTCGTACGACATTTTAGCTGAAAAATGCAAGCCTGGGATCCGGGGCCAATAGAAATACTGTGGTAACAAAAATTAATTCTTTACGTACTGCCCACCGAAGTTGAACAAAGTTCACTCAAATCAAATTAAGCACTTAAAGAGCGATCAATTGCACACTTGCGCAAGCACAACTGAGCATGTGGTCGGCAACCAGCTGGATTGTGCATGACAGTTTGTGAAAATTATTTGAGCGTATAGACGTACCTTTAGTTCTAATGCGTTGGTCTCATATCTACACGATATTTCTAAAAATTATTAAAATCAGTCCTTCTTATTTTTATGATTTTGCAGAAATAACATTTACACACTACTTTTAGGCTCGACCTGTATAATTGCAATTTGAAAGTGACAGGACATTTCAATGGAGCTGAAGTATGGGATACCTTCGCTGAAGCTGACCTAGGCTCTTCTAAGGTAACCATATCCTATACGTGTGCTGTAGTTCCATACAACAATTATTTTTTTAAGAATCGGACGTTATACGATACGAAACTTTGGACGGTGATTACTTTGATCGTTTCAACATAAACAGTTCCTATGAATATACAGGGTTTCAGTTTATTGTTGCATAACTTTAAGATTCGATAGATCTTTTAAAATTAATGCATAAAGTCTATATAAACATGGGTCGAAAAATGCGTGGCTTCCGAAATACAGGGTGTTTAAATTTACTTTCTAAAATAATTTTTTTTACATATTTCGAACAATATTTGATGTATAACAGTGAAAATTGGTATACAAGGGTTTTTTGGTACGAAAAAACGAACCATGGGCATAGTTTTACTGTAGCCGCTAAAGGGCGTTCTCTACTGTACCTGTAGTGTATTAAAAAGACCGACAATTTTTTCTTAGTGCAATTTTTTGCTTTTTGAATAAAAAAACTGATTCTTCGCACTTTTCAACATAAAAAAGCTCTCTTGTGAATTTTCGTTATAGTTAGCCGTTTTTGAGATATTTCGATTTTTAAGGTTCGATGCATTTGTAATTTTTTATGATAAAATAACGTTAAAAAGTCAGTATCTCGATAACTTTTAGAAGTAGGCTGTGCCTGCAAAAATTTTTGAAATTGAAAGCACAATAGGGTTAAACGTCAATTAGTTGACAGTTAGTTTTGTTGTCTGTTGAAACCTGAAACGTTTTTTTGCAATTGTGAATACACGAAATTTAGTTTCCTTTACCCGTTTTTTTTGTAAGTTTTATAAAAATGCCATTTTTATTTTCCAATCAAGAGTTAGCGGATATTCATTTTGTGTATGGCTTTGTAAATGGAAACGCAGCAGAAGCAGCCAGAGAATACGCACGAAGATTTCCAAACAGACGACATCCAACTCGCTCAGTATTTGTAAGAGTGCATCGCCAAATAATTGAAAATGGTTTTGGAAATCTCCAAAGGGATTAAAACATAAATGTTCGTCAGCGCAGATTTACCCGTATGATTCTGCGTGAGTTTGATAGAGATCCGACCACAAGTGTTAGGAGAGTTTCTGGTGCCTTGGGAATTTCAGCAAGCCATGTTCACCGTGTTCTTAGAAATGACCATAGACGTGCTTACCATTTGCAACCTGTGCAAGGACTACAGCCAGGGGACGGAGAACGAAGAATCATATTTTTTCAGTGGATTCTTGATAGAACTGATAATAATAGGGCGTTTTTAAGTAACGTTTTATGGACCGATGAGTCATGCTTCACTAGACGTGGAATGGTAAATTTTCATAATCAACATATTTGGTCGCATGAAAATCCGCATGCAGTTCGGGAAAGAAATTTTCAGCATGAATTTAGTCTGAACGTGTGGATTGGTATCTACCGTAATCGACTATTTGGACCCTACCTTTTGCCTGCAAGGTTCTTGGAATTTTTAAAGGCTGAACATGCAAATATGTGGGATGATGTTCTGTTAGATTTAAGAAGATTGGCCTGGTTCCAGCTTGATGGTTGTCCAGCTGGAAATTATCGAAGAAAATTATCCAGAAAGATGGATCGGCCGTAGAGGACCAGTCGCCTGGCCTCCACGATCTCCTGACCTAAATCCATTAGATTTCTTTGTGTGGGGATTTATAAAATAAAAAGTGTACCAGACTCCCGTAACCACAAGAGATATGCTAATAGACAGAATCAGGAATGCATGTGATTAAATAATTTGAATAATGCTATACCACGTTCGATCATTCGTAGATGTGAATTGTGTATTGAACAATTGGGTTTACATTTCGAGCAACTACTTTAGATTTTGTATGTTTGTCCTAATTATCCAATAGCATTTTAGTTGTAAATAATTAATTTAATTTGTTAAAAATAATATTGGAAAATTAAACAAATTAATATTCTGTTTTTTTGTGTTTATTTGGAGTTAAGAATTATTGCTGTGTTTAAAAACACAATCTAAACCATCATCTTAATTCCCAAATCGAAAATGTAAAAAAAATATTATTTTCTCATAAATAATTAAAAATGCATCGAACCTTAAATATCGAAAAACGGCTAACTATAACGAAAACTCACAGGAGAGCTTTTTCATGCAGAAAAGTGCGAAGAATCATTTTTTTTATTCAAAAAGCTAAACATTGCACTAAGAAAAATTTTTCGGTCATTTTAATACACTACAGGTACAGTAGAGAGCGCCCTCTAGCGGCTACAGGTGAACTATGCCCATGGTTCGTTTTGTCGTACTAAAAAACCCTTGTATAGCAATTTTCACTGTTATAAATCAAATATTGTTCGAAATATTAAAAAAAACTATTTTAGAAAGTAAATTTAAATACCCTGTATTTCGGAAGCCACGGATTTTTCGACCCATATTTATATAGACTTTATGCATTAATTTTAAAAGTTCTGTCGATTCTTAAAGCTATGCAACAATAAACTGAAACACCCTGTATATCCGGAGGTGCTTTGTTTCTGAGATATAGGGCGTTAAAGTTCAAATGAATAACAGGTATTTATAAAATATAATAAATATCATTAATCCGATTTGACTACTAGGGTTGTCTGTATTTTTGTTGCGCGTGATGCTAGGCGAAATCTCGTGTTTGTCGGTTCCCCCACCATCCATCTCAACAAGAAGCGCCTATTTGTGATAGGGATGTTCCGATCCACGTAAAATATCGATACCAAGTATCGATTCGTATCGTTTAATGGAGTATCGATGCATTAAAATATCGGAATAAAAATATCGATCTCATGAGTATCGATACCTTTCGCTCCGGAGCATACACTAAGCATTGCCGAGAATCGAAATTGCTTTTCTACAGCCCTCTAAATGTAAAGTAGTACAAACTAATCTGAAGTACCTATTAAAGTCTACTTTAAGCTTTAAATCAACAAATCTTGAAAACTACTGAACTGAAGCTCATGTATTTTACATCATTATAAATGGAATTGGAAGACCTTTAAAATAAGGTATCACTCGACCCCCCTTTCCATTTAGGGTTGGTGTCACCCCTGCCCAGGGGGCTGCACGTGTTAACGTGATTTTTTGCCAAACTTGTGTCCTCCTCGGAAACAAAATCGACGGGTCTGAGCGTTTTTCCAAAACAAAAACTGAGCTGCCAGTAAATGAGTCTGCATTTTCATCGATTTCCCTCAGTTTTTGCACTGATATAAAGTTGATTTTTAAGTTGACATTTTCATTATCCAACCAAAAATTCTAAGAACAAATTTAAAAAAAATTCAAAGCTGTAAGCTCAAAAAATCTATAAAAGTCACATACTTATGTAGACTGATGTACAGCGTTGGTAATTTTTTCATTTTTTTTTTGAGCAAAATTGCGCTCGTAAGAAGGTGAGGGATCATCGATCTGAAAAATTGGCCACGGTGATTTCACCCCATGTACCTTGGGTTGGATTGAACCGGATTTGGATACCCTTGGGGGCAATTTTTATGTGTATTCAGCTTTAACTAGATTGAAACCATAGTCAAATTAGTGCTAAAAAAGAACGCCAATTACTTTTTTTAGGTTTTTACATTTTTTAGATTAAGCAACTGAAAATACAACTCTGTGGTCTCTTGCGTTTTCTTCATATCTCGTTTACTATCAAAACAGGCATTCATCTTTGTTGTCCATGGATAGTTTTTAGAGTAAGTCAAAGTGAGTTTTATTTTTTTCTCGTAAACAAAGCTAGATATCGAGAAAACACAAGAGACTATACTATAACTATCTAAAACTGTAATGACTCATCGATGTTCACGTGAACATCACTTAACTACCAGTAGTCGGCTGTTCATAGGCGGGGTATGAATGTTTAACATGGGTGAACTAGATTTGTCACATGCTTAATAAAGAGTGGTTTGAAATATATTGTAAGTAAAAAATTTGGGAATTACCTTTATTCATCGTCGCTTCCACTTACATCTGACAGTAATAAACTGTCGCTATCGATGTCCTCGTTGAAATTGACTATAACTGGCTCTATGATGGTGTCGATGTGGTGGTCAAGCTGCCACATTTTTGTTTCTTCCTTCACAACATGACGGATAGCATTCTGCCAAGCTTCGGGCGTTACTAGCTGTATGGAAGTCTCAAGTAAAACCTTAACGTCTGGTAATTTGAAGTTTGTGTTATGGCGCGCAATATAACCCTTCACTTGAGCCCAGATGAGCTCTATTGGGTTCAGTTCACAGGGGTAGGGCGGTAACCACAGCACAGTGACACCACATTGACGGGCCATCTCATCAGTCACGTAACTAATGTTCGCAGGTTTGTGCTGTTTAATTTTTTCATACAATTCCGCTTTCACACATGAATCGTCAAACGGGATTCCTTTTTCGCGCAACCATTGCTGCATGTCACTTTTTCGAGATCCCATAGTCGGTACACGTTCGGCTCGATGACTATGGTAGGAAGCATTATCCATGAAGATCACAGAGTTGGGCTCAACTCGCTGAAGCACCCCTTGAAACCAGCTCTCGAAGCAGCTGGCATTCATTTCGTCATGGTAATCACCTCCTTTCTTAGAGACGAAAATCAAGTCACACTCTTCTAAAAAGCCACTATCGCTACCAATATGAGTTACGATCAATCTTTGACCTTTCCCTGACGGTCCACGAAGACCTGTTGACAAACCTTCAATGCTTGCTTGTCGGTTACTCACTACGTTTTTGTCTATCCAGGTTTTTTTAACTGTGTGACCTGCATTTACCCATGTCTCGTCCAAATAATAGATTTTTCTGATTTGTCGCCTATATTCAATCATTTCGCGTAGATATTTTCGACGCCAGGCGACTATTTCAGGTCTGTCTATCAATACTGCCATTTGTACTCTCCATGGTTAAGTATAACCAAAACAGTAACCACAGAAACCACAACAATAACAATCACACAACAATTCTTATAAAAACACACAATATGCGATCGCTCAACGAAACACGTTCCAATGCGTTGCCGACGCCTATGAGTCTGCCGGTCGAGGCGCGTCTTTCATTTCATTGGTTCTACCGGCAGAGAACAATCAGCCATTATTTCCATCTCTGTCTGTGCTGTTGACCACCGCAAAGCTACAGAAACGGCATATGTCGTACGCTATACGGCTGTACTGGAAGGAAGCCGGGATCGAGCTCTGATCACGTGTTGATCACGCGTATGAGTCATTACAGTTTTAAATAGTTGTAGTATAGAGACTAGAAAGGTTGTACCTCCTGAAATAAGTTAAGGAACTTTTTTCCTTGAAACGAAGTTTCATACCGTAGTTAGGAAACTTCCTTTAAAAGAATAGGCTTGAGAAAATATGCTCTCAAATTTCTATCTATACTCGTATTACAGGTCTACATTATGAAGATATTTAGAAATGCATCTTTAAGCCAAGAAATATCTGATTATCTACGAAGAAATTTACCTAGAATGATAAGTGCCAACAGGAACCTGGTGTCGACTGTTTTGACTCAATGGACAGAAAAAGGAGTCAACAGTTTATTGAAAAAGATGGATAGAAATAAAAGGGAAAAGCAGTGATACGTATTTTGTATACAATACACACCCACGTATCTCAAAAACTAAGCGCGCTAGGGAACATTTTTTAATACAAAAGTTTTGGGAAACCATATGATGCATCTAGCGATAACCTTGGATTTAAAGTTGACATTCACCTTGAAGGTCATTTTAAGGGCAAGTTGATTTTTTCGAATAGGAATCTCTATTTTTTATTACAGAAATAGAAAGCCAAAACATTTCCTTTTCAACGGTATAAATATCATAGGAGCTACAATTACATGTAGAGGTTATTTCAAGGTCAACTGCTGCTCTATAATGGAATGTTGTGAAGCCGGAAAAAGGAGAATATTGAATAACTTTTAATGAGAAAATAGGACACTCAACGGCACATCTGATAGTTGATCATGTTTTCTCAAAAATGAACCGTCGGGTACACAATTTAAAAACACCATCAGCTCTGCTGATATAATAAGTGGTTATGAAGTTGTTGACGTAGATGGAATATCTGACCATCTAGCCCTAATATTTTATGTAGATGCATCGGAGATAGGCAACCTATGTAAACTGAGGACATATCGTGATTACTCTACCTTTAGCCTAGACAATTTCTACCATGATTTACTTTTAATAAACTGGGATTTTATATATACGTTGAGAGATGTGGATCAAATGATTGACTTCCTGAGCTCTAATATCTTGTGCACCTTCAACTTGCATGCTCCTGTCAGAAACATTCGAGTTACCAAGCCACCAGCTCCTTGGCGAACATTCAACATAAAACTCATGATGCGAACAAAAAGTGACGCATATAAAAAATTTAAACGTACAGGAACGATTGCTGCCTGGGAATTCTATAAGAAAATCAGAAATTATGTTTGTGGGGCTATTAGGCGAGAGAAAAAAGCCTACCTCGATTATGTTATGAGACATAAAAATTCGAAGACTACATGGAATATACTTAGATCTTTGAATATCGTTAAACATAACTCCATAAGTCTACCTCCACATCTTCAGGATCTCGATTCATTAAATAGTGCTTTTTTAAACGTACCTCAAACAACCAAATCATTAACTCAATTGAACCTTTTGGACAAATATGAAAACGTCAAGAATAGTGGTACTTTTCTGTTCACGACAGTTTCCCCTGCCACTGTAGAGAAATTTATCAATCGCATCAAAAGTCATGCTAAAGGCTCAGATGGAATCACAATTGATATGATCCGTATATTACATAAGCATTTGCTCAAGTATATTACCTTCATTATTAACTTTTGTATAACAAATAATCTTTATCCCTCTTCCTGGAAGAATGCTCTTGTTCTCCCTCTGCCTAAATCTAATTAACCTTCAAGTTTTTCTGATCTTCGTCCTATAAGCATTTTACCAAGTTTATCTAAGCTTTTGGAAATGGCTCTACATGAGCAGCTGCACACATTTGTTTGTCAAAATAATTTACTGACCACCTCCCAATCTGGCTTCAGACCATTACATAGCACCACCACTGCGGTCCTGTCTATATCGGATAATATTTATAGCGCGGCTGATCAAGGAAAGCTGTCCTGCTTAGTTCTTCTTGACTTTAGCAAGGCCTTCGATACGGTTGACCCAAATATTCTCTGTAAAAAGCTTAGATACTTTGGCCTGTCATCATCGGCTTGCACGCTGATTAAGAGCTTTTTAAATGATCGCTCACAGTCTGTCATATATGAAAACAATATATCAACTTCTTTATCCAGAAATTTTGGTGTCCCTCAAGGATCTATTTTGAGTCCCCTTTTATTTGCTCTTTATATATGTGATTTTCATGAAACCGCCAGCTACTCAATCGTTCATCATTACGCCGATACTTTATAACTGCTTCGATCCTGATGAATATATGCTTGGCCAACATCAAATCAATCAAGATCTGCAGTCTATTTCTGACATATCTAGTGCTCACAATCTAAAACTAAATCCTGGCAAATCATGCTGCATTTTATTTGGGCCCAAAAAGAATCGTGAAATAAATCAATATCGTATTAATATTATGGTGAATAATGAAGACATATCCTTCGTAAACGAATGCAAAAACCTTGGTATCTGGTTTGACTGCGAGCTACGCTTCACTAAACATGTTAACCAACTATGCAATGCATCCTATAATGTGCTTCGTCAGTTATACCCGAGTCGAAGTGTCCTGTCGACACAGCTCAAGCTTAAACTCTGCGAGTCCCTTATCCTGTCAAAATTATCTTACGGTGACACTGTTTATGGACCTGCTCTTTTACAACGTGATGCCGAGCGGATTTAGATGATACAAAACTCATGCATCAGATTTTCTTATGGAATCCGTAAATTTGATCATATTAGTAGCGCTTTTGACCAATCGGGATGGTTTAAGATTAACAAATTGAGGAAACTGCATTGCCTATCTCTGGTACATAAGACACTTATTCTTAAAGCGCCATATTATCTTTATACAAAACTAAGCCTCCTCTGCCAGTACGATCAAAGATCCTCTAGGAATAAACTTATCTTACTTATCCCGCGGCATTCGACAGCATTGTTCACCCGCAGTTTCTCGTACTGGGCACCCAAACAATATAACTGCTTATCAAGTGAGTATAAAAAATATAGCCTAAGCAATTTTAAAAAAAGGTTAAAGATGAGTTTAAAGCAGTCAGATGGCTAAAATTTTACTTTATGCATATCCACAGGTAATTGATTGTTTCCTTTCTCTGATAAGTGTTATATTCTAAGTTTTTTTTTCTTCCTCTCTATAGTTTGTGTCAATGTTTTCCAGGTCGGGTTGAAAAACAGCATAAGCTGACACTCCACCTTTTCGTCACTGTTCCTTTTAAACCAATTATTTTGTAATCGTGTGACGAATAAAGGCCATTTATTATATTATTATTATTATTATCATGTAGTACCTAGAAAGTACCAATGGAAAAGTTTTATTTGTTTTTTGATATTTTTTTTAAAATAAAGTCAGAAAAAATAAAAAAAGATTTGGCCAAATTGAGTTTTCTGCAAATATTTTAGTAAGCCATGCAATTTTTCAAGTTCCTCAACGACATGTAAATACGTCCCAAAGAACGCTTCTTTTTCATAATTTAACCTAAGCTGCATGCATAGAATCTTCATCCTGGTCACCCTGTATATTGTTCTATTACGGATGGTCAAGCTTTGTCAGGAAAACATCATTTCGGCTTTAGTCTTTCTTAATTTATATTGACGAGTTCAAAACTCCCGCCATCAGAATCTTCCTAGCGGTCGCAAAGCAGCGGAATTTAGGCCTTTATGCTTGCTTCATTTAAAAAAAAATGTCTTCCAATGAATTCAACAATGTAAATTCAGAAGTTTGACCGTCCAGGCACTATCACTGCCTATAGAATTTGTCATACTTGGCTTTATCTCTTTTAATGTCACGACAAGAAGAAGAAAACATTCTCAATACCAGTTTTTCTGCGTAATCAGATCGATATGCAATTGTTTTTTTGCATCGCGTGCGTCAAATTTATTTCTCATAAATAAAAGATGATCGTCACATAGCAGATAAATCAAGTGCATCCTGAGTGAAGGGAGTAAATCTTTAATTTATTCCAGATAGAAACAATAAGTGTAAATCTAGTTTTTTTTTTAATTGTCAATGTCCGGTGCATTACTATATAAGTGGGGTCAACATCAAGGACTCCATGTAATCATTGTTGATATTCGTCCGGGGTACGCTGTGAAGATGAAGCTTCTGGTAAGTTAATCAATTTTTATTGTTATTTTGCAAAACAGATTACGTTTGATACAATTGGTGATAACTTTGTTTAACATATTATAGATTTTCCACTAGGTGTTGGAAATTATTGCATCTCAGTTGGGTTTTAACTAGCGAACCAATTTATTTAGAGTCATTTATAGAGTTATCAGAAAAAAAAGTTTCAGGTTTCACCATACCTTTTTATTTCCTTATAATTTTCATCCAACAACAAACTAATGGCTAACTAAGGAAATAAATAAATGAATTTAGGTCTGAAAAGTCCATTTACATGTAGAAAATTCCAATATAGGGTCCTTATGAAAAAACAAAGTTGGTGGTGAAAGTTGAAAGAAAGAATGTCGAATTGAATATTTGATTACGCCGTCTTCTAGAGGAGAATAAGTAACAATGACAACACGCAATTTATTTTGATATCCCATCTCAAATAAAAGTGATTTTGGGATAAATCTGGTAGACGAAACAAGTGACAATCTGATACTTTCAAGGCCTACCTAGGAAATTCTGCTTTGTTTTCAAATAACTAAGTGCCGTATCGTCAGTCGTTCATACAATTGAAGGGTACAATGCAAGAACCAGCCAAGTCCATTTTTAAGGCAAATTTAGTTAACATCATGTTTTTACCCAATTTAAAATTTTCTATCTGGCCCTACAAAAACGAGACATGTAACCCTAAGAATACTCAATTTATAAATGTATTGGTGGTTGCCTGCTTTCTCAAAAGTTGCAAAAACGAGTCAAGTCGGGACATTCGTTGCTCTCCTGCAAAATTATAAAAAATGACTGGTTCTAGCATTGCTCCCTTAAATTGTAGAACGCCTTTATGGCTTTTTTGATTTTCATAGTTTCGTGTCCTTCAGAAAAGCGCTCTATTTTGGGGTTATGTTACAGATATATTTGAATCAAATTGTTCTTGCTTTTGATTTATATCATTTGTTTTGTCAGCCTGAAATTTCATACAATTCAAAAAGTAAACATAATTAAGAGAACGCTGACGCTGACACGGAACAGTAGAAATCAAGAAATATTCCAGCCTTTCTGAATGAGAGAAAATACTATGAAAATCAAGGTGGCCATAAAGGCGTCCTACATTTGTAGGAACGATTGACGATGCGGTCATAAGGTTTGATAACATACGAGGGATGTCTTTTAAGTTTTGCATATGGAAATAAAACAACACGGTGGGTAGTTTTAAATGACTTTATTGTTTTTCGAAGTATTCTCCACGACGATTAATACACATCTGCATACGCTCGAACCAATTTTCGAAGCACTTATTCCACTCGTTTGCTGGCAGATCCAAAACGGCATTTTTGAATACGTCAACTGCTTCTTCTGGTGACTCCATACCAAAGGGAGATTGTCGAATGATGTGGCGCTTCGTTGCCGAACACAGACAGTAACTCAGCAAGGCATTCTTGTTGCGATAATGGTCTCTGAAAGTTATAATAAATTATGGCGCGAAAATGTTCTCGGTTGAGTTCCATTTTTCTGATGACTTGGTGACACTTAAGAATTCACTAGAGATTTTTTCGCGAGATCTCGTAGTGAACCGAAGCGGGAACAAATGGAATTTCCCCTTCCTCTCGAAGTTTTGACAGTTTCAAGTTACAACGGGAGTGGTTAGATGGCGCATGTTGCGCAAAATGCTTGCTTTAAGCTTCTTGATAAACTTAGCTGCCTTGTTTAAATCTGAAATAAAAAGACCGATCGTTTTTTGTGCAATGTACATATATATCATATAAATCAATCATTTGATATGACAAGTGCGGTTCATATATCTTCGATGACCTTATCCTTCGTCATTTAAAATCAGGTGGACGTGTTCCTCCATCTATGATTTAATGATTTAACTCAATTTTCAGTACTGCGAAGACACATTTTCAATTGAGATGCCTGTTTTTTTGAATGAAATTGACATAAGATCTGTCACCCGCTAGTACCTCACAGACGTTAGGCGAGTACCCGTACCACGTGATTTTTTGACATTCGGAAGACGTCACATCCGTCTTCCCCTATTCCCGTTCTTCGCGAAAATTTGAGTATCGGTTCCCGGTAGTGCACTGTGCTACACCGTGGACTCGCGAAAAAATCCTTACTGTAGTGAGAACACTGTACGTATTGTTGTGAAACTTTGAACTTAAGTTTACTAAAGAGTGAGGTTAAGATTCAGTACTGACGTTCGATCCGCGCGGCCTACTATGTTTCTATATGCAAAACTTAAAAGACATCCCTCGTACTGACTAAGAATCAGCGGAAAATAGTTAATAACGATGAATAGTGGACGCATCCTTTTTGCATAAAAATAACATTTATCTTCCGGAATGGTTTCCGATTCATATCGGCTCGGTAAACTAGTGTATTTTGCTATAAAATGCCCTTTGAACTAAGCCTGTATATTGCTCAATAAACTAGTAGTGATGGCCGAAAAACAGGTGTTTTGGGATAAACAATTAGAAATTCTCAAAAACTAGTCGACCAATATATACTAAGTGACATATAAATCCGAACACCCAGTTTAAATGGTTTTATTTTAATAAATGTTGGTGAATGTATTTATCTTACTGTAAATAACAAGTGAAAAATTGTTCAGCCTTATCAGTTGGACATTCCGGAGTAAAGAATCAACGTTGGCGGATTTTGGTTCTTGACATCCTTTACGATCGGTTACGATGCCTAGAGTACGGAGACCTGCACGATTTCGTCAACTTAGTGAGTTTGATAGGGGCCGTATAGTGGGACTTCGGGAAGCTGGACTTTCTTTTCGGGCAATTGCAGTTAGAGTGCAAAGAAGTGTAGACACTGTGGTTAGGTGTTGTCAGGCATGGCTTCGAGAAGGCCGTACGCAAAGAGCAAGGGGCACTGGACGCCGCCGTAGAACAACAGACCGTGAAGATCGCCGCCTAAGATTATTGGCCTTAAGGGACCGTTTCTCCACTACCAGGTCCATTGCAAAGGAATGGTTTTCAGAACACGGAAGACCTATTGGCATGCGAAGTGTTTACCGACGAATGAGAAGTTTTGGCTTGTTTTCATGCCGGCCACACTGGGTCCTCCCTTTAACTCGAGAACACCGACGTAATCGCCTTGAGTGGTGCAGACAACGGTCACTCTGGGATCAGGAATGGAACAGTATTGTCTTTAGTGACGAGTCTCGATTTTGTTTAGGCATGCACGATGGTCGTGCCAGGGTTAGAAGGCGACGTGGTGAAAGGAGGAATCCACAGTTTTTTGTTGAAAGACATGTTTATCACACTGTTGGTGTTATGGTTTGGGGTGCTATAGCTTAATCTTCATCAGAGGTAACATGAACGCGCAGCGTTATATCCACGAAGTTCTAGAACCCCATCTTTTACCCTATCTTGACACCCTGGCAGATCCAACTTTCCAACAAGATAATGCCCGACCACATGTTGCAAGAGTCACAATACACTTCTTTCAACATAATGATGTCACATTGTTGCCATGGCCACCAAGATCTCCCGACTTATCCCCAATTGAGCACGGGTGGGATATGATGGGTAGGAGATTGCTCAATTTGCAACGTCCTCCTCAGACTCTAGAAGCACTTCGAGAGGAGTTGGTGGTTGCCTGGAATGAGATACCACAGGAGGATATTGACCACCTGATCAGAAGCATGCCTAGGCGCGTTGGAGAATGCGTAGCATATCAGGGTGCATCCACACATTATTAAAGGTCAAAGGGCTTTAAAGCAGTGCAATCATTTTGAAATTTTTATCATTTACTTATTATGCTTCATTAAGTACTTATACAAAATTTTATTAAAATAAAACCATTTAAACTGGGTGTTCGGATTTATATGTCACTTAGTATACTTCAATTTTGTTGTGGTTATTAAGAAGTACGAATCCTACGAATTTGAAGAATTTCAAATAAGCAAGGCATTCTTGTTGCGATAATTGTCTCTGAAAGTTGTAATAAATTATATCGCGAAAATGTTCTCGGTTGAGTATATGCAAAACTTAAAAGACACGTACTTCTAACAGCTAATTTCAAAAAAACTAATTTTGTAACATCCAGTTTTTATCCAAAATCAACCTGTTTGTATCATAAAATTTCCAGTGGTCATGATACAAATACGCATAACACTTTAGTGTGTATAATAATAGTATTTTTATGTCTAATTTACTCTCTGTTTGGAGTTTATAGCTTGCTCTACTCCTTTATTGTGTATAATAATAAAACTATAACACTAGATGTAGGATAATGTAAATGATTCTCAGACCCCAAAACAGAATATTCAGGTAATCATTTATGTATTTATCCTTTGAATTATACAACATGATACAGCAAGAAACGTCTGCCCAAAAATATAGAAAAATTTTGAATCAGGAACTGAATGATTGGATCTTTACTGTTGAGCGGATGGTTATACACGATTGTGTATACTCGTACTATGTAAAAATATATGATATACTTTAGGTAGATTAAGTATCATCTACCCACATGCTACGTCTACTGTGGATATTATTCTGTATTTATTTACCGCTTTGTTCTTTTTGGTGGATTCAACTTCAATTTCTCTTCTGAAAACAACTTTAATGAGTTTAGAACTTATATCTATCGAAAAATTGAGAATGCATGATAAGTACTAAGTTGATCTACTTCACACTATCGTTCGATTTCATTTCAGGTTGCAGTTATTGTAATGGTTGCTGTTTTCTGTACAGTATCATATGCATTTTCCATCGATGCTCCTGTCCCATACGGTTTACAAAGAAGGATAGTATCAGGAATAACAAGAGAGTGAGTATCCTTCAAAGCTTTTATCGAGACAACAGAGCAGTATTCAAAAAATTTGAGAGCCTTAGAAAAAAATTTCTATTTTCTCTTCTCAGTCTGTCTGAGAATTTTTAAATAGCTGCTCAAAAGTTAAGAGCTCAACTTCGTCAGTCTTTGAGTACTTTGATTCCAAAACACCTATAGGTCCATTATTTTTATTTAAGGGAAAGTACAAAGTTGACCTGTTTCAATCGTAATTGAATTTGATAACTTCTTCTATTATAACATTATTTCCGTTCCAGGAGAAGAGAAACAAAGTCCCAAGAGCTACCTAGAGAAGCAGAGCGAGATCTAGAGTTATCTGAAAGTGCTTACGCCCCATATCCATACTATCCATATTTTTACCCTTATTCCCACTATTATCACTATCCATATGTTCTGGTCGGCAAATGAAATATATCACAACTAACTAAGTTGTCATAGCACTGAATGTTTTTATGTGTAACTAATTTATTATTTTTTAGAATAGTTCACTTTAACTCTGACTAATAAATCATTTTCAGGAAATGCTTAGTTTTATTATGGGCTTCTGCATATGTCTTCTAATTGCGTGGCAAATATGTAGTTAAAAAGGCATAAGTCAATTTTTCCAACCTGAAATCAAATTGTTCTTATAGCCATACTCTCGACGCATACTTAAAAATGTGATAAGTCGAAAAACTTGACTTAAGGGCTTTAGGCCCGTATCGTCAGTCGTCCCTACAGTTGTAGGGCGCGTTTATGGCCTCCTTGATTGTCATACTCCTTTCTCTCCTTCAAAAATTTCTAGATTACACTTGTCCCGTGTCAGCGTCAGCGCTCTCCTATTGTGAAGATATGTTTTCTTTTTAAATTGTAGGAAATTTCAGGCTGATAAAACATGATATAACTCAAAAGCAAGCACAATTTGATGCAAATAGATGTTTGTGACATGTCCTCAAAATAGAGCGCTGACACGGAGAAGTAGAAAACTATGACAATCAAGGAGGCCATAAAGGCGCCCTACAAATGTAGGGACGACTGACTATACGGGCCTTAAATATTTGCCGCAGAATTGTAATAGTAGAGTACCGTTAGACATAAAAACACGAAAAACTCGGAACCCAGGTTCAGAAAGTTTACCCATTATGTATGTTATGTATGTTGAATCATACAGAAAATTGCCAGAAAATCAATCGGGTTTTCGCAAATACTCTACTTCTACCGGTCTGCTTAATATAACTGAAAATATAAGAGCCCCTTACCACTTCAGTTGGCCCAACTATTGAAATCTTAGTTTTTTTCTTATCAAACACAAATAATAAAAATGTAGCTGGGTGTTATAGGTTTAAAATATTAACAATGAATATTTTGATAATATACAGGGTGTCCGCAAAGTTGGGGTTTTCCTTTACACGACGTGTAGATCTTGAAAACATAAGCAATTTTTCTTAGTACCATATACACCAATGTCTTAAGGGAACCGAGATAAAGGGCTCTGCAACATCAAAAATATCTGAATACCGTCCTGTAGCCGCGACCCGGGACATCACCGATTGGTACAAGGTCTCAACCCGACGGCAGAACTGGGTCGGGGTCAGTGTGTCAGGTCAGTATGCAACCTCAACCGACGGTTACGGTCACGCGTGTAGAGGTAAACGAACCCATATAATCGATTGCGTTTCAAAAAACAACAAGCACTAGAGACGTGGCTAGAGAAGTGCAAGTATCAAAAACTAAAGTGTGGCAAACGCTGCGTGAAGAGGGGCTGTATCCGTTTCACGTCCAACGTGTACAAGCCCTTCAACCTGACGATTTTCCAGCAAGAGTGCGGATTTGTGAGTAGTTGTTGCATCAACATGACAATAATCCGGACTTTTTGAAGTGCATATTGGTGACAGACAAATCTACGTTCACGCGTAATGGGGTGAATAACTTTCGCAACACTCATGTTTGGTCATTACGCAACATTTTGCCTTCCTTGTTTGCCTGCGTCTGCTCGGTAGCGCATCAGCTGATTTCATTTTCTGTTGGAGCGGTATGATTTCGGGAAGATACGTACTTAGCCCTTCTCGTCAACTGGAGAGTGAGTACTTTTTCCTTTATTTTTTTTACTTGGTCGCCCTCGTTTCACTACACATTACCTTTGTTATTTCAAGGGTAGTTGTTTCTGAAAAGGAAAACCCCAACTTTGCGGACACCCTGTATAGTAGAAAACACCAACTTTATCACTCCCTAATCAAATTTGCAGCATAAAAATAACACAAGTTGCAATTACAGCATATCAACCTATTTTCATTTCAATGCAAAATATGTCTATAACGCATAGGTGGCTGTGACAAATAAAAGCCATGACAATTGTTTTTATTAAGCTGTCAGAATAAGTTTAAAATATTTTTGGCTAGTTAAGGTTTTCAAAATGGGTAGAGGAAAGGTTATTAGTATTTTGATCACTTGCCAGTAATTCTAATTTTTCTTTATTAATGATAGTAGATACCTTAATTTTCACACTATTTTCACATTGACTGACCATAATTAAAAAAAAAAGATGAAACTGCTCGCGCCTGGTAAACCCAAGAAACAACAAAAACTTTAAATGTACATTGAAAGGTAGAAATAGCATATCATTCCACTTCGCTTTTCCAACGCTCATTTTCCTATGATGCTGCTAGTGTCTTCCTATTGACTACAAATCCATGAATCTGTCTTTTTTCCGTGAGCAGTTAGGCTGTACCTTCCACGCTATAATTTTTCTTTTATTTGTTGAATTTTTAGTAATAATTCATGTATACGTTAGTTTAGAAATTGTTGTACAATCTACCCGAGGAAGCTTTTCCCAGTTCTACTTACCTTAGGCAATTCAATTTTTACTCTCTCCAAGCTCCTCATGCGTGGCTACTTCGGATAAAAAGATTTACTGACACTTGCATGCAGTGGCGGCTCGTGGCAAAATAAAACAGGTGTTCTGCAAATCCGGACTTACCAATTTTTTATATGTCAGTTCGATCCTGCGCTCCTTCTTGGCAGCAAATTTGTCGATCACCTTCCCGTTGAAATTTTCCATGGTCGAAATAAATTCCTCTTCAATGGACAGCATCGACAACGCTGTAAGGCGATCCTGAGTCATAGTATTTCGAAGACAGGTCTTGATTCTTTTCAATGTTGAGAAATTTCGCTCAGTCTCTGATGTTGACATAGAAGTTGTAACAATAATTTCTAATAGCTTTTTTGTTTCTTTTAGTGTTTCCTTCAAACTATTTTGTAACAAAAATTTCAAAAGAGACAGAATTCCATGTAAATCTCGGCAATCATTTCGTGTATAAATAACAGACAACTCTGTGTTTAAACGACTTTTTTTTTAATTCTGGTTAAGCCAAGCAGGTAGTTTCCAACTTGTCATCAGGAAACTTACCACAGTATTCTCCAAAGTGTTCGGGGAAAAAAGTGATGCGGCTACCAAATGATCTTTGAATTGAAATCTGTCATTTGCAGAATTCACTATATTGTCGCATACTTCTAATGCGGCAACTCGGTGTTCGTGACTGCTATTATTACGTCGTCTCCTTTTGTTGCTTTGGGGTTCAGTGCAAATACTTTTGGCTTCATTTATTATGTCATCAATTTTATGTCTCACATCGACAATACATTTTTCAAAATTATCGATAGCCGTTTTAACCTGCGCTGGCTCGGTTCTTCTCTTCTGCAACTGGTTGAACAAGATGTCGATGTGAGGCATGACATGATGAAAAAATGTCAACCAAAACACGAAAACAGAATCGTTTAACATACGGCGAATACCGCAAGGTGCCTTGCAAACGGTTTCATTAGTGAAATTTTCTTCTATTTTTTCCATGCATTCAATGAGCGATTCTCTGTTCTCAAACACTACATTTATTGTTCGAATATTAAAATTCCAACGAGTTGTTGCTCCTTGTGGATTTTTTTCCCCACAATTCTGTTCAGTACCTCTACGCGTTGCGGAGAATTATTAAAATATCCCGGAATATCTTTCAAATCCCCAAAGAACACCCGAACTTGAGCATTTGCGGAAGCAGCTTGGGACATAATCAGGTTTAACTGATGCGCATAGCATTGCACATAGTGAGCAAATGGATATTATGTTTGTTTAATTTTTGCCCATACTCCAGCATTATGTCCGCTCATTACCGCGGGTCCATCATAGCTTTGTGAAATCAGTTTGTTAGGGAAATTTCCTATTAATGGATCTACGACGCTCAAAATATGTCTTGTGAGAGTATCAGCGTTACATTTTTCGGGATTCATATAATTCCAAAAACGTTCTACTGGTTCGCCGCTAAATACGTATCTGAAAATTGTTACCAGTTGGGTTTTCCCCGAAATGTCCGTTGTTTTATCTGCTATTATCGCCAAATACGAGGCTCTGTTAATCTGTTTTATTATTTCTTCATGACAAACTTCAAGAATACAATCCAGTAGATGGTTTTGTATTTCTTTCCAAGTTCCTTTAAATATTGAAGCACTTTTTATGTGTTCGCTTAAGGTTGTATCAAGCTCAGCAGAAAAATTAATCAGTCCACGAAATATTCCCGGGTTTTGGGAGCTCTCGGTTTCGTCGTGGCCCTGTAGCGCCAATTCAAATGATCCGCAAAATTGTATACCATCGATTATGTTTGATAGATCGTACCTGTTTTTTGTAACGGTATCATTATGCTGTTGTATATTTCTCCAATATGCTGAATCTAACTGAGCTCTGATGTTAACAGTTCCCAATAAAGCCAATTCCATCGAATTATGAAGATGTGTTTTCATGCTTCTTAATTTTTTCACTCAGGTGCACTAAATCTGTAACACCTACCTCCGTCCAAGCTTTGTCACCGCCGAAAAGTATGCAAGGAAAGCAGAAAAGGGCATTCTTCCTGTTGCACCCACAAATCCATTCATTTCTGCTGTAAATCTCCCTGCTGAAATGCCGCGTATAGCCCTTCCCCGACTAACGCCCTGTGTTTCTATAAATATGTCCGGCAGCGGTCGACACCTTCACCTCAATTTTTTCTTCAAATGTGTGTTTTCAGAGTCGTTTCACGCTGATAAGTCTTGCACTACCCTTCTACACAGCCACAGTCAGTCAGTGAGTCACTAGTCAGTCAACGTAAGACCCAAAATACCTAAATAAAAAATTGTTCGCATTCAAATTTTAAGCCACGTCACGCGATAAGACCAATATGTCAATGCCGAGGACCGAGCACCGACCGACCAATCAGATATCGTACTTTGCATTAGATCTGTATGGATCTGTATAAATTGCAGCACATGCTTATGCTTAAATCCCGCATTTGATTTTGTAGAGAGAGAGACAAAAGCAAGCGCATGCGGCTTGTGTCGAAGTAGTGCACAGAGCCTTTTCAAGTGACCCATAAATAATGTTACGCAGCGGTCGCGGTACACAATTGGCCGATTATAATGCTTTCTTAGTACAAAACAGACGCGACGCCGTCTCTTGCGGGACCTATATGCAGACGACACTGCTATAGCCGCCAAGCATCGACGACCCGAGATCATCCGTAGGAG